CCCCCCGCCTCTCCCTGCTTCCCACCCGCCTCCCTCTGCCCGGCTGCAGTTGGGTGATAATCTCCCTCATTTAGCCTCCCGGCTGCTTCCCCGGCTCATTGCCCAGCTGGTCCCTGGGGCCTGGCCCAGCTTCCTCCCCACCCCCACCCCAGCCCTGCGCCCAAGCTCCGCGGTCCTCCTCCCTTCCCTCAGCTCCTCCCAGGGGACCAGCGGCCCCTAGCAGGGAAGCCTCAGGGCCATGGGTGGCGGCTGGAACCGGAGCTGAGTGTGAGAAGCAGGGAGGGCCTACTCGGCACCTGGGAGTGCAGGAGGAAGGCTGCTGCAGGGTCAGGGTGTAAAGCCTCAGCCAGGGTTCCTCTGCCCTTCAATTGTTCCCATTCCCCGGATTTGTTCCCAGTCCAGTTCTCCGCCCATTTCTGCTTCTCAGAGGATGAACTAGGTTTCCCGGCAGCGAGACAAGACTGGTAGTAGGACTGGGAGGCAGAGTTTAGAATGGACGGGGTGGGAATAGGGGTGGGGCGGAGGGGTAACGGGGGTGGGGGTGTGGGGGTGTGTGGGGGTGGGGGGGTGGTTCCAGCTCCCAGCGCGGAGGAGGCGTGGAGGTTTTATGCGGGCAAATGCCCCAAAGGGAGACCTTGAGATCACCCACGATTCACCTTGAGGGGGTTCCAAGGAAGCCTTTTCCCACAGGGGACCCCCATGCTAAGCAGCATCTGCCCCTTCCTACCACGTGGGCCCCAGACTCCCTCCCGGACTGGCTCCCGGCAGGACCCAGCTACCTGGAGGACCCCTCAGACTCCCGGACCGCATTCTCTGGAGACGGCCCCCAGCCTCCGTCTGCTCCCAGGGGACACCCCCTTGCCACCTCCCCAGGCCCAGAAACCCGGCTCTGGCTGGTGTGGACCAGGGATGAGCCACGGTGGGACAGATGTGGGCGGGGAAGGACGAGGACCGGGAGGCCAGGGCCGGGCCAGGCCTGGCTGGTGAGCGAGCAGCGGTGACAAACGGGCTGTGCGGGGGCCGAGGGGCGGGGGGCGGACGGCGGCTGATTTATCTGGGTTATTTATGCCGCGGACGAGGCAGGAGAAGCGGTTAACGAGAGTCCCGGCGAAGGGGGTGGGGAGGCCCGGACGTGATCGGAGGCGAGAGAAGAGAGTTAGCGCCCCACCACCAGGCCCGGCCCAACCGCCGCTGGTGCTCCGGGGCCCCCCTCGGGCCAGCCCAGAGCAGCACCCTCTGCGAAGTCGGGTACCCCCCCCATCCCTGCTCAAGGCCCTGGGCCATCGGGATTTAAATGGACTGGGTCCAAGATCTGGGGACCCCTGAGGAGGGCACCAGGAAAGGCGGGCAAGAAGGACGATTCTGGCTGGCCGGAAACTGGCCAAGACTGCAGGGCCTGCAGAGTGGGCTGGGATGGGAGAGGGCAGTGTGGGAGCGGGGGGGGGGGCTGTCTACAGCCTCCGAGCCGAGGCCGGAGAGAGGGCAAAGGGCACCGGGCGCAGATCTGGTGTCAGCCCGGAGCCATGGTGGGGGGCTGAGTGGCAGGGAGGCTGGGCAGGAGGGGGCGCTGGTCTGAGAGCAGCGAGAGCAGGGAAGGAGGGGGAGAAGATCCAGAGCAGGAGGGGGAGAGGGCTTTGCAGCAGCGAAAGCTGCTGGGAGCAGATAAGGCGGCCCAGCAGCAGGAGGGATTAAAGCTCTGAGGGGCATGGGGGGTGGCGTGGGACAGGGTGGGGGGCAGGGAGGAGAGGGCTGAGGGCAAGACGAGTGGGAAAGCGAGGGCTGCAGGGGGGCAGGATTGAATCAGGGGCCACGAGGTGTCGATTAACTGGGAAAGGAGGAGAGACGGGACCCTTCGGCATCCGTCTGGGAAGACTTTTCTGCCATTGAGGGAGTCCCACACCCTGCACTTGTCAGGGCAGCAGAGCTAAGCGGAGGGATGTGCTGTTGCGGGCCGGGTAGTGGAGGATTACCCGCAAGGGGGGGAGAGGCAGAGGGGCAGAGGCCACCCTGAGAGCTGCTCCGCTGATGGATGGAGAAACTGAGGGCACACAGCGCCTCCTAGGGGCAGCCAGTGGAACACAGGAGGGCCACTGGTACCAGTCACCGCGTCCCCCCCCCCCCCCCCGGCACGGAGACCCCAGCAGACCCAGGCTATGGCAAGGACCAGAATTTCAGAGGGAGGTTCTCTGTGGGAGAGGAACAAGCTTAAAAGGCGACAGAGTGGGCCCAGGATGTCCCCACCCCTGCTCTCCTAGCCCCCCGGAATGGTGTCTTGGTGCAGGTGAGGCCGGGGTCCCTCCAGACCTGAGCCCAGGCAGTTCAGAGGTGGCCGTGGTGGTGGTAGGGAGCCTCGGCGGGGAGAAAGGGGAAGAGGAGGGGCTGGGGGAGGGGAGCGGGGGTGGCAGGCGGGGCTGGGTAATTGCATGTTTGCCAGTTCTCCGTCTCTGCACACGAGGGAGCGTGTGTTGGTGGGTGTAGCTTCACCTGAGGAGCGTGTCCGTCTCAGGGGTCTGGGCTCTCCTTGGCCCCCACCCCCTTTGTGTTTTGGGGAGCGTGGCTCTGGGCACACCCAGCTGTGCTCCTTGCTGATGCTGCAGATGTGGCGGCCCCAGCTGTGCCTGCTTCCCAGAGGGGGGGGAGGGCTGCAATCTGCTCCCCCATAACGGCTGCTAAGTGCCAGGGGGAGGGAGGGGGATCGGGTCGGAGGTGGGACTAGGGCCCTGAGCAACCCTGCCAAAGGGGCTGGGACCCTGCCCCACACCACCCCGTCCAGCGCCTCCCCCAGTTTGCGTTCTTGGCTCCCTCTCTACCCCTCCGCTGGCTCCTGAAGCCCATCCAGATTTCACTCCGTCCCTGTCCCCAGCTCTCCTCCCGTCGCCCCATCCAGCTTGGTGCCAGGGACCCACCCCCCATCCCCAGCTCGCTCCCCTTCGCCGATCTTACAGAATAATCTTTTTATGGAAACCGAAAAAAGCGCTAATGGCAGGAGCGCACCCCTCCCCCGCATCCCTCCCCCCACTTCCCAGCCAGTCCCCTGGTGTTTCTCCCTTCTCAAACCCTCCCTAGGGCCTGCACCTTCTACCCCTACAGGGCTAACGAAGGTTGGGTGCAGGGTTCCAAAGGTGGTGGACAAGGGGATCCCTAATGAACCTTTGGCAGAGTCAGATGGGCCCCTAGGTCCCTCCCAGCACAGAAAGGGCTCTGGAAGAGTGGGGCATTCCGGCCTCTTCACTTAGGACCCCCTCCATACCAGTGACTTGCCCTGCTGGGGGGTGGGTTAGAGGCCTCACTAGCTGCCCCCCTTCAAACACTGACCCTTTCCCCTTCCAGTGCCTCTCCCCACCACGTTCCCACCCCCACTGGGTCTAGGAGGGGGGTCCCGGGGGCCAGGGCTTGACACAGACTTATTGGATTTCACGGTGTTTTGCTGAGAAAATAATTAAATTATCATATTTATGATGGAGCTGCCATGGCCTCTGCCAACCACTCGGAACAGAAGGGTCAGGGTTGGGGGAGGAGAGGGAAGGGACCCAGAGCCTGGCCCTGTGGCGCAGCCCTCTCCCAGCCTCTTCCTCGGGGAGATGACCCCAGAGCCAGAGTAGATCTCTGCAGCTCCCTACCCGTAGAGAGGATTAGGTCTGCGCCACCGGAGGCAGGAACCAGAAGAAATAAGAAGGGGGCTGAGTAGGTACAGGTTACAGGTCAGGACCACTAAATCCTGGGCCATTTCCTGCAGCACTTACACAGCCCGCAGGGCTTGAAGGAGCTGAGATCACATCCAGACCAATCTCCCTGTGAGCCTCAGACCGGCTCCCTTGCATATTCCTAACCGCCTGCCTCTGAAACTATGAAATCCTGGGCTCCGTCCCAGCCCCTGGTGCTGATAACAAGGCCCCAGCACCCAGTTGCCTGCCACCCTAGCCCACTGCCAGGACCCCTCCTCCCTCCCACCCACACCCTGCCCCCCCATTCTCTTCGGGTAATTAGATTCCTCTCAATTAGCAGATTACGATCATTACCAGCTCATCTGGCAACTAAGCTCCGCACCCACAGCTGGGGAGAGGGGAGCAGAGAGGGGCACATGGGGGTCATGGGCAAACATGAGAGACGGCGGAGAGGGGAGGGCTGAGCCCTGCCAAAGGGCAGTGCCAGGTTGATTGCCACTCCCAGAACACGCCACCTCCCACTGTGCTTCCAGAAAAATCAGCAGGGGCTCAGGCTTGCCCAGCCTGCCAAAGGAGGAAGCAGAAAGATACGAGGCCCCAGATGGGGGGGCGCAACCCCCACCTAAGCAAAAGCAGGGAGCAGATGGAGCTGGCAAAGCAGAAAACAGACCAGGGCTGGGGCTCGGCAGGAGCTGAGGAGAGCAGGCTGCTGGGTGATTAGCCCCCAAGCCTGTGGTTCCCAGCTCCTGGGCCCAGCTGAAATCCTCTGCCCTTCCCTCAGAATCCTATACTTGGAACACGAGCCAGCCAGGCCCAGTGAAGAGAAACGAGGAGGAGGAGGTGATGGGCTAGCAGGGGCGAAGGCTGGGGAGCCTGGAGGGCCTTCCTCTGGAGCAGTGCAAGAGGCCCAGGCAGTGGGAGGGGTAGATTTACCAGGGCTCCAGATTCATTATTCATGAGCCTGAAGCAACGACTCCAATTTAAATGCTAATGTGGGGGGGCCTGGCTCAGCTGCCCCCCTTCCGCCCCCACCCCCAGACCAGGCACAAGCGGAGTCCATGCTGGCTCCAAGGTTCACTGGGTTTATTTGGGAGTGGGGAGGGAAGCCAGGAGTCCTCGGCCACCCACACTGCTCCCAGCGTGTGAAGATCCTGCCTGGCTTCCTCAGGTCCTTTTCGACCCTGGCCAAGCAGGGCAGCAGCCTTCCAGAGGAGTGGACGGGGGGCTTTCTGACAGGCCCCCTCAGAGGATGATCTGGTTGGTGAAGCTGCGGCTCAGCTCCTTGTGTGGCAAAACAATTGAGTTCAGGATGAGCACCTCGGCAGGGATCCGGACTCGGCAGCCTGCGGCAGTGAGGCACCAGGGAGAGGTCAGGGAGGGGAGACAGGCAAGGGGCTCAGGGTCTTGGCCATCTGGGAAGAATCCCTCCCTGCCCATCTGTGCCCTGGCCTCATTCTCCCAGTGACTCACACAGGGCCTGGCACACAGCAGGCACCTGGTAAATGTTTCCTAAAGGGACACACACACACACACACACACACACACACAGGCGCGCGTGCTCCCTGTGGACCTCCAGCCATCATACCCAGGATGGTGATGGCAGGCAGCAGCTTCCCATCCTTGAAGAGGCTCTCACTGTCCATGCGGGCTCGGGGGTCATTGGGGTTAGGGTCGTTGGGGGTCCCCTCCACGCGGGCCCAGCGCCCCACAGTGCTCCCCCAGCCCACGATACTGTGCAGAACACACGTGTGCTCCTGCCAAACAAGATAGTGCCAGGTGAATGGGATGGGAGACAGCAACAGACCTTCCCTGCCAGGATACCTGGGCTCTCCCGTCAGTCTCTTGACTGCCACATGCTGCCGTGTGCCTGATGCCTACCTGCAACGTGGCTCCATGGAGGACAATGCTCTCTCGGAGCCGCACACCCTCACCCACAGTCACCCCCTTCCCGATGGAGACATTAGGGCCCAGCTGTGGAGAGGAGCACATACCATGAGCCCAGGAAAGGACATGGGGACAGCCCAGTCCAATTCCCTCCTAGAATAGATGAGCCAAGTGACCGGCTGGAGGCCAAAGCAGAGAGACCAGCACCCTGAGCTCAGGCAGTCTCTGTAACCCCAGCCATACCCTAGCAGCCACCCTTCCTCTCCAGGAATGCGCCCACTGCTTACCACGGCCGAAGGGGCCACTTTAGCCGTGGGATGGATGTAAACGTTTCCTAGAAGCAGAAGAGAGAATCTGGGGGCAAATATCCCAAACCACATCTGGATGGGGAGGGGCAGGGATTGAGACTTCACCTCTGGACCTGAGGTCAGGGTCTTGGCTCAGAGGGCAGAGGGGTGGGACAGAAGTTAACAATTGGGGCCTGCTGGTACCTCGGATCCGTGGACCCCCTGGCGAATGCTTGGCCAGCCGTTCCGGGTGAGTGATCTGGTATTGGCCCAGATAGAGGCGGGAGGCATAGAGAGCTGAGCTGGGGACCAAAAGGGAGGTGGGGGTCAGGGGCCAGCAGGGCCATACCCATCACCCCAAAGTCTCAAGCCTTAGGCACCCCAGCCTCCCAATCAGAGCCACAGACATCCTGCGGCTACATACCCTGCGGACTTGATCTGGCTCCAGATACCCTCTGTGATGTGCACGTAGATTTGGCCCTTCCCAGCCAGGTTTGAGAACACATCCTGCTCCAGGCGGATGGTCCCTGCCCCTGGCCATGAGCTTGGAGAGTCCTCCCTGGCAAAGGAAGGATACTGTCGTTAGTTACCCGGATGACCTCAAAAGTTCGACCCATGTGTCTTTCCAGAAAGTAATCTGAGTCCCCACCACCTCTCCAAGCCCCTCTCCATGTCTGGCTGGGTCCTCTCCAAAGGGGACTCACCTCCAAATGCCTTTCCCACTCACCCCACCCCCTAGAGCTGCGGCTCTCACAGGGAGCCCTGGGCATAGACCTCCTCCCCATGCCCGCTCTGTGTCCAGCAGGTACCCCCCTGATTTGCACATAGACCTCCTCCCCACGCACCCCTCCAGTCACCCTCCCCTCACTGGATGGAATGAAACAGACTCACCCCAGAGCAAGGCAGCTGGTGAGGGCAGGGACAGTCACAAAGAGAGGGAGAAGGAGATGGCAGAGGTGCCAGCTCAGCGGAAACAGAGACAGAGAGGCCAGGAGAAATGGAGAGAAGCAGAGACATGGTGGGGTGAGAAATGGCTATGAGCAAACGAGGCAGGAGATGGGGAGGTGAGCGGGGAGGAGGAAAGGCCTCAGAAGGGTGATCTGGGATTGGCAAGCAGAGTTCTGGGGTGGTATGTTCCAGGGGAGCCAGCCTGAGGATGTGTGTGTGTGTGTGCACGTGTGCGCACTGGAGCATGTGTGCACCCAAGTGTGTGTTACTGTCTGCTCTGAAAGATGTCTCTGGGACACTCGGGGGGGGCCTGACCAACATGGTCCAGAGGGGAGTGGGCAGGTGGTGACAGAGGAGGAACTGGGCTGGATAAGGAAGAGGGACAGAATGAGGTTAGAAGGGGAGGGATCAGCGCTGGAGTTGACAAGTGGGAAAGGGAGGAGGAAGGAAGAGGGTGAGCAGGTTGAAAAGGAGCCTGTGGAGGCCGGGGGTGGGGGCTGGGACGGGGTAAGGGCCCTGGGGCCTGCCTCACAGTTGTCTTTCCTGCTGATTGCGCTGGAAGACATCCCGAAGAGGTGTCAGGGCTTCGGGAGAAAAGAGATAGATCCCACAGTTGATGATGTCGCTGATGAACGTGCTAGGTTTCTCTACATAGTGTAGGACCTGAGGACAGCAAAGACGGGTTCATAGTGAGGGTGACCGCCACCTACCACAATCCCCTAAGACCCTCTCATCTCCAGGCCCTCCTCCCTTCACACCCCGAGCTGACTGCCCTTCACCTTCACCTTCAAGATAAAACTGAACTCCCCACCACCTAGTGCTCCCAGAACACAGCTCCATGCCATTGGCTGCCTGTGCCTGGAATGCCTTCCAGCCTCTTTGGAAAACCCGTCTCTGAAACCCAGCTGATGTTGTTCTGCCCTCTGTGAGTCCTACCATGCTAGGCCAGGACTTAGCTATTCAGGCCTCCAGCCATACCTCCCCTGTGACACTGCCATCTCCAAAGGATGACTTTCCTTTCAGACCAGTGGTTCCTGAGAAGTGAAGATTGTGCCTTTTTGGTTCTCCTCTCATACCTAGCTGGTGCCTGGCACAAAACTAGGTGCGTACGTGTCTGTGCATTTGTATGTATGCTTTATATTAAACCAAGATCAAATAAAAGGGGCGTGTGAAAGTCTGAGGCTCAGGGCGGGGAGTGTGGAGCCACTACACTGTTTCCTGTCTCTGCGTTTGCACATACTGTTCCCTCTGCCTCCAGCCTTCCTGCCTCCTCCATCTAGACAAATCTATCTCAGCTCACGCTCTCTTCCTCCAGAAAGCCCTCCCCACCTCCACCCAAGGTAAGGCGTAAGGCTCTGCAAGCCCCCTTTCTGTCCCCCCTAGCACTCCTCATGCACACTCTTACGGTACCACGCCCATGGAAATTAACTGTTGCCCCTTCCCCCTAGCCAGTCTCTCAAAAGTAAACAGAATGATTACCACGTTCCCGGTGGCTTGTACCACTGGTGGTACATGCATGACTGTCCCATCGGTCGGCTTGTACTAACAGCTGGAATTGTCCCATACCACCCCACGGGACAGTCACACATGTACTTCTTGTGGTTCAGAGCTGTACAGCAGTGAGACATATGAATTATGGCCCCACTATGAGCATGTTAATAGAGGACTGTCTCACCTGACTGCCAAGACTGGGACTTAATTCATAGAGCATTTCAGCAGTCTCTAGAGTCATGGGAGTGGGAATGATGATGCAGAGTGGGCCCACCCAGCCCCTCTGCTCTTACCTCATGTGTCTGTGGATTCTCAACGATGCAGCCATAGTTGAGAGATTGAGTTCTGTTAGCCTGAAAAACAGACATACTGGAGACAGTGACCGGCCTGCTCCAGGGCAGCAGGTCTGTTTGCTCATTCTTTCTTTCCATCCCCTGTAGCACCTGGCACGCAGGCACGTATCTCCACTGCTGACAGCCCTTCAACAGGGGCAAGAGCTGACAGCTGCCCTCCCCTTCCCTACTCCTGAGCAGCCAAAGGGCTCAGGGTCACCAGTGACACCTCCGTCACTGCTGGGGCAGTACATCTTCCTCCTGACACACATTCCCACTCCAACTCCCTGGGCTGCCTCTGCCTCCCCAACACCCTCCAGGCCTTCTGGGCCCCCTACCCTGGTGCCAAGGAGTAAGAAAGGGTGGCAGTGGCGTCTGTGAACATCCAGCATAGCACTCAAGGGAAAGTCAGAGCAGACGTCGGCGTTGAGCACGAAGAACGCCTCAGGGCCCCCAGCCAGGATCTGGTCCCGAAAATGGTAGAGACCACCACCTGTGCCCAGGGGGGCAAATTCCTGCAAGTACCTGTCCCCAGGGACCCCAGAGGCAGCTCAGTGAAATCTGAAGAGACAGATAGCATGTACCACAGAAAGTGATATCCCCTAGCTTCTGGGAGTACTGCCCAAGGCCCACACAGAAACTCTATATAGTGTATCTAGGGATTCAGAGATGCCCAACTAAGCTTCTAGCGTATGAGGGTGAAATGTGGCAAACACTGACTGAAATCCACTGCGGAGAACTCTGAGGGCCTCCCTCCCCATAATGTACGCACAAACACCTGACTGGAAGGTTGAACTCCTGCTGTGCGGCTTCTAAGAACTGCATAAGGGACTCATCAGGTTGGTAGAAGCCAATGAGCAAAATCTCCTGCATCCCAGGGACCTGAGGAGAAGGGAAGAAGTTGGAAGAAAATTTATCTGATAGGAGGGAATGTTGGGGGAATCCCTGCTGTTGCCCCAGAAGTTCATAGATCACAGTTTCAGGTACAGCTGGGGGGCTTTAGGCACTCATTTTACCACTCTGCCCTGATTTCTCCTCTGGACAATGAGGAAGTTAGAGAAGGTCTCAGCTGGATCTTTCAATCTTTTATATTTCCTGTCCCCACCCCGCCACTGGGACTCGCTCTAGGAAAGACTGCCTACAAAGGTGTGCTGAAGGATAATCCATCTTTTCTAATTTTCTCTTATCTGTCAGTCTAAGTTTGAGATCAGCATGAGGCAAGGGTGCCTGCATTGAACTTGGCACTTTACACCAATGCCATCCCACAAAGGGAATCTAATCTCTACTTCACAGATAAGGAAACTGAAGCTCAGAGAGGGTGTGAGGTTTGCTTGCTCCAGGTCTCACAGCAGGCAGACACTGGATTCAAACAAAAACTTTGTTTTTCCAAATACTAAAAGCATTAAAGAAATGAGCTCTATAGCAAGAAAGGGAATGAGTGCTTTGTTATCATTAAAGGTTCCCATGCTATGGCTGTGTGTGTGTGTGTGTGTGTGTGTGTGTGTGTGTGTGCGCTGTAAGGAGTGAGCCCAAGGCCTTTACACTGAGCTACATCTTCAGCTCTTTTTCATTTCTTATTTTGAGGCAGGATTTTCCTAAGTCACTAAGTTGCCCAGGCTGGCAACTGGGATCCTCCTGCTTCAGCCTATCAGATGTGCTCCATCTATTGCTCTAAATTGTCTCTGAGATGTCTGCCTGATCCCACATTCTGTATTTTAAAAATAAGCATGAAATCTGAGCAGAAAGAGGCCAGGTGAGACCAGAGTAGGAGAAAGCATCGGGGCAGACGCACTGCACAAGTTAAGGGGACACCATTCACATCATCATCTATGAATGATGGTCTTTAGAGTTACACCTAACAAGAAGAGATCATGGTTGGGAAAGGGTAAAATAACGCAAGAAAGATATGAGCAGGAAGGGTGATGGGAGAAAGGAGCCTATGGGGTTACCTGGACACAGGCTTCAATATGGTGCTGGATCATAGGGACCCCAGCCACAGGAAACAGTGGTTTGGGGACCTCAAAAGACAAAGGCCTGAAGCGAGTTCCTGGGATAGAAAAGAACATTTCAGCCTCTTGCCTCCCTCTGCCCCCACGCGACCAACCACTCTGGCACAACCCTTTCCCCACTTCCCCCGCTCCTCACCCTTTTGAGGGCCTCCAATCAGGATCACAGCTTTGAGCATGATGATGATTGCTACCTAAACTTCAAACCCCAACAAAGAAATCAGGCTCAGGTCTCACATCCCAAGCAAACCCTAACCCCCAAATAATGCTTAGCCTTCTTCAGGATGTAAACCCTAAGTTGAATAGTGCCTCCCTAGATACCACACATCCTAGCGCCGATTCCAGTTGGCCTTTAAATCTCACAGGGATTCCTCACAAATTCTGAAATCTGCATCTCACAAATTCATCTCTAACAGATTTCCCTTTGGCCAGGAATACACTCTGCAAACTCAGAAACTCAGCAGACCCTCTTCTAAGACCCCAAATCTCAGAAAAGTTGAAACTTTAAACCCAACGATTCTCAAATTCTAGAGGTATAATTTTGAATTCCAACAGTGAAACATGAATATGGAACGGCAAAGTGGGCCCCAGATATTTAAGCTCAATCCTAGCTGTGAACCCCAAGTCCTGAACTAACACTGATTTCATTTGGTGAAACCCAATCCAGCAAAAACTCAATACGCCGTATCTGAATCCTAAGACGAACTTGCACACGCTGAGGCCTGACTCAAAAGATAGGTTCCCTTGGCATCCCACACATCCACCAACCCCTGCTATCTCAATAGACTGCTACTGAATTTCTGGATTCTGAGGACTCACTGCTGACCTGAACCCCACAACTGACTGTCCAATAATCCCTGGCTTCTTATAGGCAGGGGTTACAGGACCAACACAGGCCAGGACGCGCAAAGCGATCCTGCCCTCCATCCAGGGCCCGTTCCCTGCCCCTGCCCCTCCTGTCACGCCCGCAGCAGCTCCCTTTACCACTAGCTCCCTTCACTCCGGCTCAGCCGCCCTCTACTGCTTGTTCCTTCCGCGCACGTGTCTTCTCGCAGCTCGCGAGAATGCTTCGCATGGCCTGCCGGGAATTGTAGTTCTGACGATTCCTCTGCCTTTCTAACTTTTTGAGACTGAGAGTGGTGGTGGAAGCCGGGGGCGTTGCCAAAGGATCGGGGGACGGGCCTAAATGAGAAGAAGGAGGGTCCCTGAGCAGCAGAGACTGGAATGTAAGATGGGGACCCCAGCTGTCCCGAAATAGGCACAAGGGCAGCGGCCAAAGTGGAGAACTAGGTTACGGGGAAGTGGGACTGGAGACGACTGGAGCGTGGCTTGCCTTGGAAGGGGCGAGGCCAGAACGCGCACAGACACGAGGGGGCGGGGCTTGAGCCAAGCGAAGGGAGGGAGGGCGGAGTCTGGGCTGCCCCGCCCGTTCCGCTGGGAAGGGAACCGGTGGAAAGGGGTCGGGTCGCTGGGAGGTCCGACGGTGAGAGAAATCCTAATTCGGGTTGACTGTAAGATGAAGCATGGAACAGACGCTCTCCAAACTTCCCTCCGACTCCAACATTCTGTGACCTTGGCCTGTGGGTCTGGAATAAGTGTGGAGTGGTGGCCGGGGAGACAGAATGCGAAGCTGGAGCGCAGAACAGAGGAGGAGGGGCAGAGAGCAGCTTTATTAAGCAAGACCCGGGAGGGTTGTCGGCCCCACTCATCCCTGGCCTTGAGGTCAGGACGAGAGGTCTGAGGGTTTCTTCAGGCCACGTCCACGCGCGCGAAGCTCTGGTTCATCCCCAGCCTGTTCTCCACGTACACTTCGTACTTGCCGCTGGCCTCGGCCGTGGTCCGGCGAGCGGTCAGCGTCGTGGTGCTGGCGCCGATCTCAAAGAACATCGTGGGGAGGGGCAGAGAGGGGCAGGAGGAAGCTGCGGGTCAGTTTACGCGCGGGCACTGGGCCCGGCTAATTTGCCAGCTGTCTTGTTCGTCGTCCTGTGCCCTACCCGAATCCCTGTCCCAGCCTGTTCCTGGGCACAGGACCGCCAAGGTTCCACCCCCAGACCCTGTCCTTGACTCAGGTCCCGGCCCTTGCCTGTCGTCTTCCTCGATGCCCTCCGCGTCCTTGGTCTAGCCCGTGTCGGGCGGAGGCTCGCCCAAGACCTTCGCAGTCAGCGTTACCGTGGTGCCTTTGCGCGCCTTCGTGTTGTCCGGTCCTTTTTTAATCTTAGCCAGGACTAGAGGAAGGGGAGAGGAACGCGGCCCAGTGAGGGACCTGGAGGTGCATTGGCATGGGGGCATCATCTCCCCAGCTAATATCTGACCCTAAATACGAGGTGCACTTAAACTCGCAGGGTGACATCCGGCAAGCCATTAGCTTCTCTGGTTTCATCTCCTTAGCTGTTAAACCGAATTTATCCCCGCTACTCCTCGGTGCCGAATAGTGGATCAAAAGAGACTTAGCGGGTGGAAGCCTGGGAATGGCCTCACATCATGCGGTGCCTTGGAGACAGCTGAGTAGTGGAAATTGCGCAGGATTGGGAGCCAGAAAATCCAGCACTAACCCTGCCTCTGCCTCTGGGTCTCTCCCTCTTGACCCTTGCAACCCCAGAGGAATGATGGAAGCCCACAGCTGACTTCTCTGAGCCCGGGGCTGGGCTCGCTAGAACCGGAACCCGAATGGGCCAGGCCCAGAGATATTCACACGCCACTGCGCCTGGCTCTTTTGCGCCCTAGCTTTGCGCCGGAGGCACGTACCCTCTACCAGGATTCGAGCCGAGTCGGAGCACTGGCCGAGGGGTTGGATACACTGATACTGTACTGGCCTAGGTCTGCCAGCTCGCCGTCGCGCACAACCAGAGACACTACATCAGGGTCCTCAAAAACGTAGCGATACTTGGGTCCGTCGTGCAGCTCTTTGCCGTCCTTGCTCCAGGGGATGAATAGGTCGGGAAAAGCCGAAATTCGGCAAGTCAACTTGGCCGCGCTGCCCTCGATCAGCGCCACATCCTTCAGCGGCTCCAGCAACCGCGGTGGGGTCCAGGCCCAGAGCTCGAGACATTCTCGGGCAGGCCTGCAGCCCAGCCCACCTGCACAGCATCTCCTGCCCACCCACCCCTAAGCGGGGGAAATGGGGGTGGGTAGGAAGGGGGGCTGTCCCTGAAGTGCTACCCTGACAGAATGCCAGTCGCTCTTCGGCACCTCGGTAACCTCTCTTCTCTAAGAACAGTGACCATAGTTGTGCATGTCACTGTGCTTAGTGTCCCCACCCGCGTACCAAATGCAGGAATGCGCTTTCTGTTGCTCCACTTCCTTCCTTTCCAGGGCTCCAGGGGTCCCCCTCACCTGTGGCCCCGGTAAGAGCCTGGATATGAATGGCTGCCCTCTAACCTGGTTGTCGTTGATATCCAGGGTACATCCTGGAGGTGGGGCTGCCGGTTTTTTGGCAGGAGCTACTTTGGACATCTGGGGAGCGGGATAACAAACAGGGTGTGCAGGTGGAGACAGAGGCTCTGACCTTTGGCCCTTTGCCTACCTGATCGGGGTGGGAATGTCTGAGGCTTCTCAGAGGAATGAACTCACCCTGCAGAGATTGACCTAAGGACCTCAGTTGGCTTTGTTGCAGCCACCACGGAGCCCTTCTGGATGGCACCGTTAGGGCCACAGGCAGGCAACCAGCCACAGGCCCTGGTTTTATACAATGCCAGTAACCTTGCCTTGTTTGGTATGGTTGGCCCCAAGTCCCCCACGACCCCAGTGCCCATCCCCTGACTCAAGTGGGCTCCTTATATAGCTGGAGGAGATGCCTGGGATACTGGCTCAGCCACTGGGGCAAGCCCAGCGGGGGGAAACCTGAGCGGTTCTGGGGTACACTGTGTCAGTGCCTGGACAGCTGGGTGCAGCCCCATGCCCTCCCAAGGCTGGAGGTATCCTCCCACTCCCAGGAGGACCAGACCCCCCCCCCCCCCCCCCTCCACCAGCAAGAGACTCAGCTCAGTGCTGCAGCAGCTTTGTACCCAGGTCAGCCTCTGTGCAGCTGGGCAGACATGCCCTTCCTTAGACACCGTAGGTTAAGAGGGTATAAGTGTTCTTGGGGGTGTCCCTGAATGAAGCCTGAGTAACCCTGGAGTTCATGATCCATACAGCCGGTCATGACAGGGTCACATGGCTATGAACACCAATCCAGAAGCTTTACTCTTCCCCTACACCCACACTTACCCCAGGAATCTACGTTGTCATTTCTGCAGTGTGCCCCCTGGTGGGCACACTGAGAGGGGCTGGGAGAGATTTTTGAGAACAGCAGCCCTTCCAATGCCAACCCCATCCACACTGGCTCCCTTTGGTGTGACAGGGTAGAGTCTGGCTGATCAAACTGTCCCTGGACATTAGCACTACTTCTGACTCCCCAAGCCTTGGTCTGCCAAGCCCTTTGGGGGCAGAAACCAGGGCATAGGGATATCTGACTGCCTGAGGTGAAGGGGTGCCCAGGACATCAGTGGGAGTGTTGCTTCCATTCGTTGTGACTACCCGCCCAGGTGTGGAGTGCTGTCACCTTTTGATCAGAGCAATTTTGACACAGCTCTGCTGACATAAATTACCTTTGCTCCTCCGGGTTTGAAATAAGCAGTTCACATGCCATTTCCAATGGAGATGGGAAGGCAGCTCCAGATCAGAGAGGGGACAGCAGAGAGGAACTCTACCATTTATCAAGATATGAGTTCAGGCACCTCTTTTTTATATGAAAACATTTGCAGGGTGTTGGGGATTAGAGATTCTAACCGGCAAGCTGTATATCTTCATCCCTAAAATGACAGGTGGGCAAGGTGTCTCTCATCCCTTCCAGCTGGCTTTAACATCCTGTTATTTTATGGTGATGAGGCTCTCTTCCCTGGGGTCCTGGGAAGCCAGAGAGGCTGGGTAGGGCTGGGCAGAGTGTTGTTGGAGTTGAAGCCAAGGGGCCTCAAACTCGGTTGGCAACACACCAGTGCCAGCTCTCTCTGCTTGAGGTTGGAGGCTTTGTTCCTTTCCATTTGCCAAGAATAGTTTTCTAGGTAGTTGGGAAACCATCCTCTGTGTACAAGGAATCTGACTTCTTTTTTCCTCTCACCTCAGGGCAGGGCAACTCAGTTCTAGGACTTAGAGTCCATTCTGTAGCACTGCAGGGGAGCTGTCAGAGCCAGGGTGCCTTAGCGCCTAGCAGACCCTTTAACTTGCCCAGGGGACAAGAAGACCCAGACTGATGTGTCCCTCAGTGCCAGGAAAATGCTGGACATGGCCACCCAGAGCACCCACAGCTCAGTGCTGTGCCGCCAAGAGGCTGGGGCCAGGGCATCTCCTGATATCTTTGGCAGCTCTTCATTCTGCCCCTCTTGCTAACTGTCAGGATGAAATGCATCTTCCTTGGGGTGGTGAGGGGCAGGACCAGAGTGAAGGAGGCTGAGCCAGGTCTGGGGTGTGGTTTGGTCCATGCCAGAGCCCAGCATTCCCGAAGATGTGAAGAGGAAGTGTATGAGCGGAGGTGGGACTCAGTGGGGATTCAGTGGGTCTGCCAGCATTCCAGAAACTTCGGGCCAAGGAGCAAAGTGCAGTCCCCCTTCCTCTGAGAATAAAGAGGAGTGAGGGATCCCAAGAGCCTAGGGATGAGTGGGAAATCTCAGTGTGCTGGCCAGTATATCCCCAAATGTGTCTTCACTGGGCCAGAGAAGGCCGAATGCCCCATCCCAGGAATCGCTCCCTACCCCCAGCCCTCCCCAAAGACCACACATAGATTCTGCTGCTCGCCGGTTTTACTTTCCTTGTGACAGACAGAGAGTTGCACAGACAGCTGGATGGCTGGGGTGGGGGTCAGGGCAACACGGGCAAGAGGGATTGGATGGAAGGGAAAACTTCATAGGAGGCAATAAATAAATAAATATGAATAGGAAGAAGGGCAAAGGCCATGGAGGGATGGTGGGGACATCCCTGGGCCACCATGGAGTGCCCAGAGCTGCATCCATTGGCACAGGAGGAGATCCAGCTTCAGTGCCCACTTGCTTGCATCTCTCTGTATTTCTATTTCTCCTGGGGATGCCGGCTGGCCGGCTGCTGGCCCACCCCACTCCCCCTGCACCTGCTCTCCTCTCCCCACCTCACTGCCCTCGCTCACATCCTGGCTCCCTCCCTGGCACTTTTTCTGTGTCCTGTCCCTGCCTCACTGATACATTCCCAGCCCTGACACCGAGCTCCTTCCTCTTCCTTCTCTCCAGCCACTCACCCTCCTGGGTTCTCCCTGAGATGCACTGTGCCCCCCACCCCTAGAACCTTCCTAAAGTCTCCCCTCCCTATCCCTGGGTGGCTTGCCCTTCCTCTTCACTCTCCCATTCCCTTGTTGCCCCTCTTCCTGTTTCCACCCCTGCCCAGCCTAGCCAAGGGCCTCCTGCTCTGGCTCTGGCCAGGGGTGGCATCAGGCCGAAGCCCCTGGGCGTCCATCCCCTCAGGTCCATGAGGTAATAGCCTGGCCAGATGTTGCTGCTGGTGGTGTCCGAAGCCCCAGGCCCACCCGGCTCAGCATGGGCCCTGGAATGTCCTGCGGCATCAGTGGGAACCCCGAGTCTCAGCCCGAAGCCGCCGCAGGGTGTGGTCCATGCTGCTAAGGGCTGCTGGGGTAGGAGCGGAGCAGCACCTTGTGGCGGGTGGCAGCCTCAGCCCTGCGCCGCCGCTGCTCGCCCAGGAACTCCTTGAGCCGGTTGGTGGTAAAGGTAAGCGTCTGGCGACGCAGCTTCATCAGGTAGGCATCCTGCAGCCACGGGTGGGCAAGGCAGTCCTGCAGGGAGGGCCGGCTCCTGCCAGATCAGGCCAGGGACAGTGAGCCGGACGGGGCAGGTGACTCCCCAAGACTCACCACTGGATGCTGCCCCGGCCACTATTGCACCAGGAAACTGGGCAGCTGTGGGAATTATAGCCCGCGCTACCATGCCCGGCTTGTTATGGGCTTTCAGTGGTAGGTGGTACCACCATCCAGTAGAAGTAGCAGGGAAAGAGTTGGCGGCCTTTGGCCAGGTGGGGCCAGTCTACAGCTAAGGGCAGGTAAGGGTGGGGATTGGCAGGTGGGGGCCCACTCACCAGGGATGTACTGAGAGGACCTTTCGCAAGAAGAGGGTGGCGCTCTGGGATGTGTTGGGGTACAGCTGGAAGGCATCAAAGCAGCCCCCCACAATCCGAGCCTCTGTTTCCTGGGGGTCTGTCTCATAGAATGGAGAGTGTCCACTGAGCCTGTTGTGGAAGACAGTTCAGTTGACATAGTCCCAGCTGTGCCACTCATGGGCCCTCGGCCTTAGTGTGGACTAAGGGTCAACTCACAGGCCTACAGCACTCCATGCTCAGGGACAGTGCCACCCTGCATGCACCTGGTATGTGCTGGGGAGGCAGGCCACGAGGGAGAAAGCGTGGGCAGGAAGTGGGGAGGGGCTGGAACAGCCCCGGGAGTACTCACATGATGTAGGTGAGCACACCTGCGCCCCAGATGTCTGTAGCAGAGCCGATGGGTTCTCCCTTCACCATCTCAGGAGCTGACAAAAGACAGAGGCCAAGCTGGCCAGGCTTCCCAGTGACAGGGGAGCAGGGAGAGTGGAAGGGCTTGAAGAGGACAATGCCCTGGTCACTTGACTATGGGCACAACCAGAGCAGCAGGCCAGAAGCAGGACTGGCTCCCAGGAAGGACAAAGGCTGCCTGAGGAATAAGCCTGGGCACTGAATGCTAGCGTCCCTAGAACTCCAGAGGAATTGAGCAGGGTCACCAGTTCCCTTGGGTGGACTCCGAGGTGGACTCCCATTCACAAAGAATGTGGCCAACACCAAGATTAAGAGCCTTTGAAACCAGGCTGGTTGGCAACAATCCCAGGCCTGCCCCTCCAGCTATGGGACCTCGGACAATTTACTAAACCTGCCTGGCTCTCCACTGTCTCATCTATAAAGTGTGGTTTAGGAACAGAGATGATAAACATCAAATATTTAGCAGGTGGCTAAATGACAGCTGGTTATCCTTATGTATATAAAACAATAATTGAGTCTCCCGTCTTTCCAGCTTTCGCAAATGCTGCCTCTTCCATTTGTAACTGTCTAATTGGACAAATACTGAACTTTAGTGTGCTTGTTCCCAAATCTGTAGAAAGGGGGTAATATTATGCCAAACTCCAGGCTTTTGTAAAGATCCATTGGGGGAAAAAAATCCACATAAAGGACATGCTGCTTGTATACAGTAAGCACACAATAAATGCAGGTGAGATGGGGTGAGCTCTGGAGCTGCCCTCTGGCAGTGCCCCAACCTCAGACCCTGGCTGGCAGCTGCTCCCCTCACCCATGAACTCCAGGGTGCCTGTGCGGTGGCCAAGGGGCCGCAGGGCCTGGGGGTTGTAGGGCTGAGCGCTGCCAAAGTCCACGATCTTGAGGGCGTTGTCAGGGCCCAGAAGCAAGTTGTCGGGCTTGATGTCCAGGTGGAGCACGTGGCGGCTGTGCAAGTAGTCCAGGCCTTGTAGCAGCTGCACCACGTAAGTGGCCACATCATCTTCTGAATACCGAAATCTGGGGGTGGCATGGGTCACAGGTGATGTCCCAGCCTAGCCTCCCTCCCTGTCCCTCCCTGCAGCGCTGGAACATCCGTCCGGCTACCTGTCACTGAGCCCACAGAGGAGTTCCCGGTTGCCGCAGCTCTCAGCGATGAGCACGAGGTACCGAGGGGTGATGTAGGCCTCATGCAGGGACATGAGCCTCTCGTGGTGCAGTGACCGCAGCACTTCGTATTCCTGCAGGACCCGCCGCTTGCCCTCAGCCGCATAGGGCACGATCTTGGCCATGAATGTTCGGCCCGTGGCATTCTCCCTGCATGCTCGCACAACACCAAAGCGGCCCCTGTGTGTGTAGGGGGATGCCACAGGCTCAGAGAGGGACATTCCTGTCCCGAGGGCTAAAGGGATCCTGGGGACAAGCATGCAGTGGCTCCAGTGTGGGCTGCTGAATTTAGTCCTAGGAATCAAGATTCCAGTTCCAGCTCTGCGCTCACTGGCTCTCTACCTTAGGCAAATCCCATAACCTCCCCAACCTCAGTTTCCCATCTGAGAAATGGGTGGTAATAATAAGGCAGTGTCTCCCTTTCAGATTAATGAGAGCATGTGGCTAACGAGCTTAGTACAGTGCCTGGCCCGTCTGAAGTCCATCGTTCTAAGGCCCTGGGTGTCTACCTCCCCCCCAGCCTGGCCAGGACACTCTGCTCTGCTCTCCGAATCCCTGCCTTTTCCACATTCCACCCACTCCCCCGTTCTCCTTCTCCCCAGCCCTGCTTGCCTGGCCTTCTCCTCCAGGAAGGTGTAGGGTTTCTGAGGGAGGCCCTGGCGAAGAGTGGTCCCCTCAGGCCCGGGGGAGCTGACCATCTCCTTGGCTGGGCTGAGGCTCCGCACTATCACCTTGGTGGGCTCAGGAGGGGGCTCAGGGGCTGGGGGTTCAGGGGCTGGGGGTGCAGACACAAAGGAAGTCACCATATAGAGGGCAGTAGAGGAGGAAGGAGCTGGTTTAACTCCTTGAGGGGTGGAGGCTGGGGTTGGGGTCCTAGTGTCAGAGGTGAAAGACTTGGGCTCCCTTGGGGTGACCTGGGCACTGGGTGGGGTGGGCTGTGCTTGCTGAGCAGCCTGAAGACCCCTGTGCTTTCGTGGGGGAGTTTGGGGTGCTGGACCTACAGCCTTAAGTGAGGACAAAGCCTGGCTAGGGGCTGTGGGGGAAGATGAGGGGCTGAGAGCAGCTGACTGGGGGGCTGGAGGAGCAGGAGTAGGGATCGAGGCCAGTGAGGTAGGCAAGTCAGGCGGGGCCCTGGCTGGCCCTGAGGTAACAGGACCGTCTTCATAAGCAGCAGATGGCTGGGCTGAAGACTCTTAAGGAGAGGAGAAGAAAGTAATCACCATGTGTCCTGGGAGCAAAGCCGTGATGCTCCTGGGGGACCCGTTCCTGCTCCTGCCACCCTCCCCTCCTGTCCACTGACCTTGGGTGCTCCTGACAAGGACCTTCTCAGAAGGGTTGCTGAAGGGCCCCTGCCCAGCACGGTTGACACATGCCACACGGAACCTCACAGTCACACCAACTGGCAGCTTTGTCACATTGTAGTAACAGTCAGGGATGCCTGAGGTCACTGGGTGCCAGGCAGACTCCCCTGTGGGCAGCATGGGGTTGGAGCTGAGGCCGCAGAGGGGGTGGCCCAAGCTCCTGATGCTGTCTGTGAGGCGCCCAGGGAAGGGACCTCTGTCCAGGGAGGACACTTGGCTTCCCAGGTTCCGCTACACACAGAACCACCCGCCGCCACCTGCACCATCCTGCGCCGTTCCTCACCATCCACCCGCCGCTCCAGCGTGTAAGTGCAAGGTGCCCGGCTGTCTCCTGGCTTCCACAAGACCAGCGCGGTATCCTGGTAGGTCTGGGGCACCTCGGGAGGAGCTAGCTTTCCTGGAACACCTGGCAAGAGGAGGACAGGCCCGGTGATGGCCTGGTTAAGGGTCCTCTGAACCCTGCCCCACCGTCTCCATCACTACCCCCTTGGGCTCTGTCCCAGGCTCACGGGCCACGGCCACGGTACAGGAGCTTGTGATGCTGCCTAGGACGTTGGTGGCTGAGCACTCATAGAGCCCAGCATGCCGCTTGCCCGCCCGGGGGATACTCAGCAGCTGCCGTCCGTCTTTGCAGGACACAATGACCACCGAGGGCTCTGACTGCAGGGACTGCTTATCTGGACACGGGGAGGAGGAGGGGCTGAGGAGTGAGGCAGCACATGTCCAGGCCCCTCATCTGCCCTACACCCCAAGTGCCTGCTCTCGCGGCCTCTTGCCACCCCGTTCTCTGTGGACGACACTGCCTCCTTACTTTTCATCCAGGAGATGCGGGGTGCAGGGCAGGCTGCGGGCAGGCAGAGCAGGGTGGCTGCCTCCCCCTCCAACAGCACCTGATCCTTGAGTTTGATGTGGAAGACTGGAGGGAAGTCTGGAGGGGCAGCAAAGACAGCCATCTGTATGGGGACCCTGGCCACATGCTGCTGAGGGTGTGGCGGGTGTGCATGAGCCTAGGGTGGCAGAGTGCGGCTGGTCTCCTCCTGGCCACGTGTGGGAAGCAGAACCTCACACTATGCCTTTCAGAATGTTCTCTGGAGCCAGCATCACTTTTCCTGGGCCCTCAGCACGTGTAGAAGTGTCTTTTCCTTGCACTGATTATTGACGATGCTTGCTACATAACTCATGTTTGTAAATCATGTAGAGCAGGCTCTGTAAGTGCTCTACAAGGATTTGTTAAAATAAAAACAAACACTGAAAAACATTAACAGTTAATATTCTGCAATATCCACTCCCTCTGGGCTACTGCAGGGCAAGAGAGAAAGGAAAGGAGAGGAAATAGTGAGCTAAGGGCAGCTCCCAGCTCCTGGCAGTATACCCACCTCCCTGCTAGTCTTTCCACTTGGGGCCCAGGGGAGGCTCCTAGACATTCCATGTACTCTTCAGATCAACGAAGTGAGGAAAGCTTTTGACAGGGCAAGAAACAGTATCTACCTGACCTTGGGTGAGTCCTTTCTCCCCTGAGAAACTCCCATTTCCTACTGTAAACTGAGGAAAATAATAATACCAAGCACAGAGCGTTGCTGTGAGAATTAAAAAAGGCATATAAACTACTTAGCATGTGTCCAGCATAAAATAAGTGCTCATAAACATTAGCTCTTATTGTGATTGTTACTGTCATCTCATTAACATGCTCAGCAGAGAAGCCAGGAGCAGAACCTAGAAAAAGGCTGCTTCAACAAAGCGGAGAAGCCACTTCACCACTGGCTGGTGGCCTCGCCCCCGGAAGGGCTAGGGCCAAGATCTGTGCTCCAGCACAGTGGCCTGTGGCTCCTTGATGCCATGAGGAATTCAAGTTCATGATCCCTGGAAGGCACCTTTAGAAAAATCCCAGTCTGGTCTGTCTATGGGCGGTAGGAAGGTTTTTTCCTTTTTTCACCTGGGCAAAGAGAAAAGACCCCTGGGAGCCCCAGTTGCTGCCTGCCTGAGCACCTGGAAGGACTGGGAGTGGGGATGTGCTGGGCAGGAAATACTCAGCAGGAATGGGTGATCAGGACAGCAGCGTGTCCCCTCCGCCACTGTGCCCTCTCGTTTCCTAAAGAGGAGTCCCCCTGGAGGCTCCCATGCAGTCTCATCAATGGCTGCCCCCAGTGAGGGTGCTGGGCAGGGGGCAGAGAGGGAGGTCAGGATGAGAGGTGACCACTGACCCAGCCCAGCTCTGCCAGTCCAACCCCCCGCTCCCATGGGGCCAGGCCTAGTCGGTCAAGTGGATTCGGGACAGGCTTCTTCCTACAGGAAGAGGATGAGGTCACTCACACTGCTCAGCAGGAAATCAGCTGTACAAGCAAAAAGGACTACGGGAGTGAGGGCCCAGGTGGGAAGGGATCAGCTGTCCCCAGGCCTCTCTGCTGGATGCTCTCCTTCTCTTCCCTTTTCCACCCTCCCTTACCAGCTGCCCCCCCCCCCCGCCACACTCACTGCAGCCCCACAGCCCTGGCCAAGGCTGGACACAGTCTCCTCCAGCCCGGTTGAGACAAGGCTAGAACAACACTGAGCAACTTAACCAGGAACTAGGGGAGAGTGGAGCTGCTGGCTTCCAAAAAGGGGGAATGCTCTGCTTGGTGGCCAGCTCCTGTCTTTCCTGCTGGTCTTGGAAATCTGGCCTCCTAAGTTCTTTAGTAATGTTTCTTTTTGGGTAAAATGGCCTCAGATGGAGAATGCCTCCCTCCCTGCAGCCCCAGGACACTTGGATATGAAACAGAGACCCAAAGAGCCCTTTCCTAGTAAATGTACTTTCTGTGGGGTTAGGGAGACCAGGAGAGGTAGCTGGGTGTTCAGGGCTATAGAGAACTAGAGAACTGGGTCATGGTCCAGGCTGGGAAGCAAGGCTGTCTTTGGGTGTACACAGAAGCACACGTCTCAAGGGGAGGGGGAAAAGCAACACCATTTTTCCTCCCAGCAGTACTGGAGATTGCACTGAACTACCCCCTCCTTATTTTTATTTTTAGAGCCAAGGTCTTGTTAAGCCATTAAATTGTCCAAGTTGGGCTTGAATTTGTTATCTTCCTGCCTCAGCCTCCTAGAGTGCTAGGATTATGGGCATGTGCCACCACACCTGGCTGAGGGGAATGTGATCTAGAGCTTCTTCAAAACTATACCCAGATACAGAAACCTTCTAGAGTCTCCTGTGAGAGATGAGGCCAGTCAAAAAAAATCCTAAGAGGGCTGGGGATTTAGCTCAGTGGTTCCCACGACTGCCTCGAAAGCGCAAGGTCCTGAGTTCGATCTACAGTACCAAAAAACCCCACAAAAAAACCCCCTAAGTATGGAGCCCTGGTTTCAGAGGGCCACACAGTCCAACTCCAGCTGCTCCACTCTCCAGCTCTGCGACTTGCACAAGGTACTTAGCATCACATCACTAAGCCTGTTTTCTCACCTGTAAAATGACCATAATTGCTGCTAAATAATGCTACAGGATTGAATGAGACAAAGCTTATAAAATGCTTAATAGGACCCTTGGCTTTGCTAATTAATGGCAGCTGCTTTGATGGTTACCGCCGTTTTCGATTCTAGGCCCCTTCCATGGGTGCCCATGTTCCTGGAGGTCCATTCAGCTAGGACTAGGGCAGGGAAATGCTCACTCAGCCCACCTCTTACCTGACTCACTGGGCACATACTGGTGACCCAAGTCCTCTTGGACACTGGCAGAGAGGTTTGGTTGAGATAAGCCCTTGTCCTTCCGCAGGCGTGAGAGGCCCCAGCGGAGCCGGCTCCGGCTTTCCCCTGCAGCTGTGGAGACCCAGGCCCATGAGCACCTCCCCCAGACAGTGCCAGCAAGCAAGCTCCTGCCTTTTCTCACAGTAGCCCTCAGCTCGAAGTAGGAAAGAACATCTGGCCCCTATCCTGCCCGGATCTCATCCCAGCCTCTGCCTCTCTGCCTCCCTCCCCTCCAGCCAATTCTACCCTTAGGGTCTCCAGCCCCCAGCCCCCTGTTCCTCCCAGAGCTCCTCAGCAGGGCACCCCACCATCTTCCACACTCTGTGCCTGCCACCTTATCCTAGACTCTCCCTCACCTGAGGACCCCGAAGTAGCGCTGGCCTCAGAGCCCAGAGACTCGGCGGAAGGAGTGGTGGCACTGGCCTGAGAAGCCAGCTGGTTGTGCGGAATGCCCAGGCGTCGCAAGCTCTCTCCCTCCGACGTAGCCCTGCGCAGCCGTCCGAAGAGAGGCGTGCTACGACCCGAGCCACCCCCAGAGTCCTCACTGCTGCCAGTGCGCTGCAGCCGGCTGGACAGCCGCTCCAACGTGGAGCCGAGCCTCCGGCGCACCGCCAGCACTGGGGAGCCCCGCGCCGAGCTGCCGCCCTCGGAGCTCTCCCCGTCTGTGCCGCGGGTCTCCCAGGCCGGGTGGCGCTGCGCGGGCGGTGTCCGCCGCAGCCTCTGGGACAGCGACAGCGAGAGCCGGCGGACCAGGCCCGGCTCCCCGGCAGCCCTGAGGTCCTGCACGGAGCGCGAGCGCTCGGGCCGGCGCACCAGCTCCAGCGGGGTTCCCGCCGGGCTGGGCCGGTAGATGCCGTCCTCGTCCTCGGCTCCGCGGAAGGGGCCGCGCTCCTCAGAGCGTGAGCGGCTGAGCAGCCGGAGCCCGCGGGACAGGGCTGACTCGCGGCTGTGCTTGAACTTGGCCTCGAACACGGCCTCAGACTCCAGGTTCTCGATGCTGCTGCTCAGGCTGCTCCCTGGCCTGCGGGGGACCGTGGGGATCCGGGCTTTCTCAGCTACCACCGGAGCAGCCTTGGCGGAAGGCACGCGCTTCTCAGGACCTCCTGGAGTCGGGGAGGCCACCCTGGCAAACACTGCGGCGTGGGGCTGGGGCTCTGACGCAGGTGCTGCCGGGCCCTGCGGGGGCTGGGTGTGACCCGCCAGCTGGAGCGACTGCATGACCTGGGCATAGGGAGTGAGGGGCAGCGCCAGGGTCTGCGGAACCACGGGGGGCTGTGCCGGCTTGGGGGCTCGCACTGGTTCCGGTGTGGGCTCCCGGGCCTTCTCCGGGGCAGGCTGGGGTTCGGAGGGCTGGGGAGGTTTGCTGGCCGTGGCGGTGGCGGAAGGTTCCGCAGGCTTAGGGGTACTGGATTTGGGGGTGCTGGCCCGCGCAGGGCTGGGCGGCTGGGCCTCGCTCAGGGCAGACAGGGAGGGAGACTCCTGGAGCCTGCGAGCCCCAAGCCTGGCTATGGGAATTTCGAGGGGCGCCCCCGCGCGGCGGTGCCGACCCCGGGGCTCCGCCTCACCCTGGGAGAAGCTGCTGCTTTTTTGCAGCCCTGGTGCCTCGGGTGGGGGCTGGTGATGGGGCGCTGCTTCGCTGGAGGCAGCCCGAGCCATCCGAGGGTCCCGCACACGGCCCCCCAGGCTCTCCAGCAGGGGACCCCTGAGGCCGCTGACCTTGCCATCCTCAGGGCCTCCCCGCAGCAGCCGCTGGCGCAGGGCCTGCAGCCTCTGGGCGTACTCGCCCTCGCCCAGGCCACCCCGGGCCAGGCGGGTGGCCCCCGGGCTGGGGCTCCTGCGTTGCGGCAGCTCCACAGACGCCGCCTTGTGCAGGCTCCGGCCCGGCTCCCTTGGCCCAGCCCGGGGCAGGGCGCTCTCCGCGGAGCTGCCCCTGCGGAGCTCTCCTCGCCTGGGGCTGGGCCCAGCGGGGAACTCCTGGCCTGGAGAGGGGAGGGCCTGGAGGCTGGGGGCCTCCTGGTCCTGAGAGGGAGCCCTTCCCTGCTCTTGCCAGTCCATGGGGGTGGCAGCCCCGGCCTCCGGGGTCCCCAGGACCTCATCCTCAGTGGGAATGTCGGTGAGGGATACCCTAGACCCTGAGAACTCGGGCTGCAGGGGGCGGGGCACCGAGGGCAGCTCCTCCAGCTCTTCCTCTTCCGAGTCAGAGGAGGATGAAAGGCCCCCGCTTAGAGGCGGTCTTCTGGGCGTGGCTACCCACACCCTCTCCGACGGCGCCCGCAGCAGCTCTGGGATGGGACGCAGCACCAGGTGGCATTTGTAGCTGATTTGAGAGCGCTGGAGACAGGGTGTTAGAATCAGACCGGAGGGTCCAGGGCAGGATTGCCCCCAGCCCCACCCCAGGCAAAAGAGGCGTAGGCAGGCAGAGGTCAGGGACGGGGGAAAGACAAGAAAGAGCAGGGAGGCAGAGGAGAAGGAGACACAAAGGCTGGGTGAGAGGAATGAGAGGGTGGAAAGGATGGCCAAACACACCTGCCACCTCCGCCGGGACAGGAAGAGCTTCAGGTGATCTGTGCTCACCTCTGCACCCTTTGCTTGTGTCTGCAAACCCAGGAAAAAGGGCCTCGGGGACAGCTCTCTGTCACCTAGACCCTCACAGTTAAGCAATGGAGAGACAGTCCATGGTGGGTGGGGGGTGTGTGTGGAGTGAGTCTGGGCTCCAGGACACTTCTCACTGCAAAGGGTCACAGCCGTGGAGAAATTCCCTGAACCCAAGGGGAGAGGCAGAAAACAGATGGTACCAGGGATGGCTTTTCAGCTTGAGCTGGGGCTCAAGGTCCTCTCCTGGTACACTGGCTGCCAGGGGAGGCCTGTGCTCTTGGGCCCCTGGCTGGCCTCCAGCTCCCAGTGTCTCCATGTAAGGCTAGCAAATCAGACATCTGGAGCTGTGGTCCAGACCATGGCAGAAACCTCCCTCGGCCCAGGCTCCACCCAGGCTCGCTCTCCTGAAGCTGGTTTCTGGTCTGAGGAAGGAGGCTCTAACTTCAAGGCCCCGAGTGGAATGATGACCTGTCTTCAGCTGACCTAGCTCGGCACTCAATGGTATGTTTATTCAGGTGCTTTCTAAACTCCACTGCACCCCCATCCTGGCCTGGCACTGTGCTCCAGTGCTGGGGTCTGAAGATGAAAGAGAACCTTACCCACACCCAGCTCATAGCTGGGGGGATGAGCCAGAGAGGCCACCCACTAATCAGTGCAGGACAGATGTGGCACACAGAAGTGAGGGAGACCAGGCTGGTCTCGAACACCTTGAAGAGGACCCCTGGAGTGGGGAAGGGTCCAGACCTATGCCTGGAGTCCGTGATATCCCAAACTGATCACTGGTTGGAGTCTCAGTTTCCTTATCAACAAAATGGGTGCATGAAACCTTACTCTGCAGAGCTATTGTTAGGCTAATTGATCATATGTACAGAAAAATGCATATCAGCTACTGCACATCTGTGCTCAGTAAGTGGAGCTGTTGGTAACCTTCTCTCTCTCTCTACCCCTTGTACCACCACCTAGCAGGACTAGACTCACTTTGAACCAAGGATGTTCTAGGGTCTCCTCAGCAGTAGGCCTCCTATAAAGGAATAAGAATTAAATAGGGATTTATCATTCACTCATTCATACAGTCAATAAATATTTGAGAAAACAAGGCCTTTAAGGAGCTGGGGTTGCACGTTTAAAGGCAGACACTGGGTTGGAGTAGGGGGATGACATAAAGGTCTCCACAGGTCAGGGGAGTCCTCAGGGTCATGTACTCACAGCCGGTCCTGCACCAGCACTTTGATGAGGAAGCCCCGAGCCTCTCTGCTCAGGCTCAGGAACGTGGTCTCCTCGAAGGCCACATTGTAGTTCCGGATGTTCATCAATGTTGTCCGATCATTTTCCCCAACAAATGGGGAGATTCCAGTCAGGCTGCAGGGGGAGGCAGTAATATCAGGAGAGGTGGGCAGAGCCCTGGGCTGAGGCAGGGGTGAAGCAGATGGGGGGTAGGGGCCCCAGGTTGTGAGGATGGCAGATGCTAGGTGAATCTGGACAAAATGGCAAAGCTTTCAGACTCTTACTGTCCTGTCCTACTCCCAACCCCCGCAGGGGACAAGGGGCAGTCCTGCCTTGGAACTTGATTGCCCATGTTTTAGAGGACCTGTTCTGTCCCACCTCCGGTGTGGCCTCTCCACCCTCGTTCTCCACCTTGGGGATGTGCTCTGCCCCTCCTAGTCCTTGTTCTGCACATTCTGGGCCAAGCAGTTCCCTACCAAAATGGCACTGGGTCTGCACTGGCTTCTCTCAGTCCAATGTGCCCAGCTGTTATGGAGGGGCATGTGATGGACAGAGCTTGGGCACATGGACCAGGGCACCCATGTTCATGCACTCATGTGCCCCTGGCAGTGCGAGAAGGATCAGGGGTTATGGAAGAGAAGAGGTGGACTGTGAGCCTTGTAAATAGTAGTGGTGGGCCTGCCAGGAGACTGCAGAGGGGTCCTTACCAGAGGAAAGCAATGACACCCACAGGCCTGTAGAAAAGAAGAGCAGATGAGTGAGAGGATGCCCCCCACCCCGCCCCGCCCAGCTGGAAGTGAGCAGTTCCCTGCTACCTCAGATCTGAAAGAAATGTGTCCTCCTGGGAACACTGCCCTGGACAAATGGGCACAGGAGGGCCTTCTTTGGGAAGGATTCTGAATCCATCAGTCTAGACATTCTGGAGAAGTCAAGGGTCATTCTCAGCAGGGCTGGCTTAGGAAGCCCAGAAAAGTCTGGGGACCAGTGGGACCATGCCTTCTCACTGGGGGAGCCCCCACCCCTGCAAAGGCAGGACCCAAGGACTGCACAGCTGAGACCCTGCATGATTGGCCAGCCCTAACTGACAAAGGACCAGGTCAACAGGGCAGGGGACCCTATAAGCACTGCTGCCAGCCCCCCACACCCAGGCAGAGAAGGAATCCAGGCTTCATAATACTCCTCTGCCAGGGAGGAAGTCTCCATCATCCCCTGCCTCAACACCCCAGCACCACAGCTTTACCAGATGTCAGTGACTCCAGACACGGGGCTCTGGTTGACAATCTCTGGTGCCACAAACTCAGGTGTTCCATACTGACAGTACTGGGGCTCCCCTAGGATCAGCTCCTGGGCGTTTCCAAAGTCACAGATGCGAACCTGCTCTTCACCCGCTGAGCCGTCCCATATCAGCAGGTTCTCAGGCTATGAGACACAAGCAAGCTAGAGATGAACACCTATCTCTTGGCTCCCACAGGAGCTGCCTGCTCCCCACTCCCCACTTCACCTTGACATCCAGGTGCAGCACATGGTTCTGGTGCAGGTAGCATATTCCCTGTAGCACCTGTCGCATATGGGCCCGGATCTGTGGAAACAAGGGGCCCAGGGTCTGTGGGGTTGGGTAGGGAACTATGCTTGATTACCAACCACCAGGGCTATGGCAAGAGGTCAGATCATGCCTTGGGAGTGGCCTTCAGATGGCTCACAGAGGTTTGGGGTTGCTAAGGCCTAGGACTATCATATAGCTGCACAGGTTGGACATAGCACTATTATAGGGGGCAGACATTTACATTATAATGAATAGTATACTACATACATAGCTATACATGGCAGGACTCTAGGTAGGACCTATGTGGGAAGACATATTTGGAGAACGTGTATGTCTGGGAAACAACAGAGGGGGGCTGGGATGGGCCTGCTGAGATTAAAGAGGACAGTGCAAGTCCCAGATAGATGGAGGTCTTGGGGCGGGGCATTCTGCTGCCAGCCTCACGGCAGGCACTCTCTACCGTCACCTCTGGATCCCTCATGGGCACAGATGGCATGTGTAGGGCCCACCCATCAGTTCTCAAGGCTCAGGTGGGTGAAGGCTGGTGCTCAACCTGGCCCCTGCCACCCACTGCCCTCACCTCGGACTCACACACGGTGGGTTTCCTAGCCATTCGCTCCAGCAGCTCCTCTGTGCAGCTGTGTCGGGGTCAAGGAGACAGAGACCAGTGTCGACTGCCCAGCCCAGCCCCTGAGCTCAGCTCAGGCTCCATGCAGCACAGGATTCTCCTCCCCCTAAAGCACATCTGGCACCAGAGGTGGTACCTTACCCTTTCCTGTTCTTGGGGTTCACAGATGGGACAACTCTGCTTGAACTCTCCCTTACTATAGGATCTCAGGCAAGTCACTTAGCCTTCTCTTGGGTGTAAAATGGGGATGCCATTTCCTTTCCTGCCCACTTGAAGCAGTATTTATAGGGGTCAAATTATACCAGAATCTTGTTGATTCAACTGATAATGGGCCCGGGGGCCAGGACACGGCCATCTGTCATTTTTCTAAGATTTGGATTTAACAGTGCCATTGAGGAGGCTGGTGTGCAGGTCATGGTCACCCCGCTACAGGAGAGCTCAGCCAGTCACCCAGCAGCCTTAGCTCAATATACCTTTTTTAATCACAGAAGAGTAAGCTCTGTTCATTCTAATGTGCACAAATACTGCTCTGCAATTTATGATTAAAGAGCATTTTCCATTTGCCAGCTGTGTGACCTCAGGCCAGTTACTTAACCTATCTCTACCTGTTTCATCATTGATAAAATGGGGCTAATACAATTCAATGAGGTAGGTATACAGGAGCAGCGAATGTTTTAACATTTATAAAACTCGTACAACACTTCCAGCCACTTGTTAAATGCTGTTAAGTCTAAGCTAAAAAAAAAAAAAAAAAATGTTAGTGCAAGGACCCGAGTTTGATCCCCAGTACCAAAAAAAAAAAATGTTGGCTTTTGCAGAAGTCTCCGACCCCTCCCTCCCAAGGCTCAACAGGACTAAATGGTAACACGTGTTGCAAATTGGTTGCTATGAAGACCGTCATTCACGCTCAGGTGGCCTTTATGCCCCAGCCTTTCCCAGGATACAGCTCGGTGACAATGACCAGTCCCCGGCGCCTCTCAAAGGCCTCATGGAAGTAGAGGACACAGTCGTGCTGCAGCCGGGCCAACAGCCGAGCCTCCCGCCTCGCTGATGCCTTGGGCTTGGCCTGGCTGGGGATGAACTTGGCTGCAAACTCCAGGCCGGAGCTACGTTCCACCACACGCCGCAGGTAGGAGAAGGCACCCCTGGGTGACAAGGAGGGTGGCAGATGTCACTGCAGGACTGGCTCTGCACCCTTCCGGGCCCTCAGACCCAGAAGCCCCACCCTTGTGGCCCCAATACTGGCTCCTCCTGGCCCCACACCTGCCGATCTCCTGGTGGATGTCGTAAAAGTCGCTGAGTCTCCTTCCTCGATGCTCCTCGTCTTCCCCAACCCCCTCAACCTCCATAGCTGTCTGAGCTGAAGAGGAGACAAATGTCCTGGGGATAGGTGGGGAGAGCAAGAAAGGGACGAGGGCGGAGGAGGTGGGGTAGGTGGGGCAGAGGAAGACAGAAGAGGAGCAAGAACAGTGTGGCCCAAGGTGGGGTGTTGGGGTGGAGGATGCGCAGTGGAGTGAACTGGCTCCAGGGTGGGTGGGGCTCACACCACAATCCTGGGGGCAGCTCTGGCCCACCTGAATGCACAGCCAACTCTGCTTTGCAGGAGACTTCGCCCGCCATGTTCCGGGCCGTGCAGGTGTAGACACCTCCATCCTGGGCCCCTGTGCTGAGCACCACCAAGGAGCACTCGTTCTCCTCGTACACGAAGCTCACATGGCTGCTCTCAGCAAGCAGCACCTCATCCTGCAGAGGTGGGCATCCATGCCAGCCTGAGCCTGATCCCACCTCCATCTGGGGCTCAGCTTTACTTCCATGCCAGGGACCCAATGGCATCTCCACCCAAGGGCCAGGGGCCTGTCTCCCAGGCCCCACCTCTGTCTCCACTCAGGGGCTCCACCCCAGGGGCTTTGCTCCCCCAGGACCCCTTCAGCTCCACTAATAGCCCCACGGCCCTCAGCCCCTGGTCCCTGCCTCCTCTTTCTAACCACACCTCTGCCCAGGTTCCCCCTCCTAAGGCCTCCCAGGAGCCCAGCTCCCCAAGGAACCCGTTCCTCCTCCCACAGGCTCCCGGCCAGCTGGCTGCTTCCCTGCCTTGGCCTGCACCTCTCTCACCTTGTACCACATGATGTCTGGCACTGGCTTCCCCTCAACCACCACAGCGAAGCGAGCAGTCTCCCCAGCCCCCACCTCCACGTCCTCCATGATGGACTCAAATCTTGGAGCCTCTGAAGTGCACGGGGAAGGAGAGGGCAAGGGAATGGGCAGGATGTCATCACTCCAAAGGCCTCCGCTGCCCCTCTCCAAATCCCCATCAAGAATGGACTCAGTCCAACACCAGGCTGAGCTGGGTGTGGTAGCGCAAGCCTCTAATCCCAGCACTTTGGGAGGCTAAGGCAGGAGGATTGCAAGTTTGAGTCCCTCCTGGATTATTTAGTGAGACCCTGTCTCAAAAAATAAAAAGGGCTAGGGCTGTAGCTCAGTATGAAGGCCCTGGGTTCAATCCCCAGTACTGGGGAAAAAACCGAAAAAAAAAAAGCCTGGGCCTCCCAGAGCCCCATCCCTTGGAACATCACAGCTCCTGTCACCTGCTCCAAATGCCCTCTTTATCAATCCAAATGTGATGTTCTCTAAATCTCAGAAAAACCGTTATAGGGGCAGGCTTGCTTTGTTAGACCATCGATGTTCATTTGCCAACTTTGAAATTAGGAGATTTGCACACACAAAGGAAATCTGGATTTGCTGTCTCTCTTGAAAAATCAGGACTGGCCACCCTAAACTGCTTCCCTCCCAGTAACCCATGGGTGAGGTGTGGCTCAATGCCGCCCCCTTGAGGCCATCTCCTCACGGTCCCACCACTGCCTTCTCTGTGCTTGTACTTGGAATCTGCAGGAGGCTGTCTGCCACCCAGAATGCAGCTCATGGATGACACTACCTGTGTCTTGAGGTTTCTCCTTTCTGAATCTTATTTGGATGGCTAGGGACCCATCTACCATCTGGGAGATGCCAGATGAACAAATTAGTAACCCTAAATACTAACTGGGCAATCTAGAAGCTGACTCTCAGCTCACTTCTCCCACATGTGGCTGTGATCTTATTCTCCACGCATGTCACATGGGCATAGTATTCCTTGCAAAGCAGCATATCACTCTCACGGCGGAATTACACACATTTTGCAATGTACCTTCCCCATCCTGAGTATGTCTGAGGATCTTGCTTTGAGGGGAGTGGGAATGATCAGGCTTCCAGTGAAGAACAGGGTGGCCAGGTAGAGGGCACCCCCCAACACAGGGACCACCAGCTTTTATACAGATACCAGGAGGCCGTCCCGGGGGTGGGAAAGACGCTGGGGTGTGCAGACATGGAGGAGAGGGGGCGACCATTCCGTTTGCCCTGCCTGGCTGGTGTGGAGTGAGGCTTAGTGGAACGTGGGTATTGAGGCAAGCCCAAGGGCCATTTTAGGTCTGGCTGGCAGGGAAACAGTCTCCCTCAGCCACTGTTCTGTCCAGGCTGGGCTGTAGGGCTCTTGGGGTCAGGGCCTCCCTAAGTACCAGATTTAGGGTTCCATCTGGAAGGAAAATGAGCCTAGCAGATGGCCAAGGAGCAAAGTGGTGGCTGAGTAGGAAGTGCTGGGCATGGCAGGCTGGGCAAGGAGCAAGATTCATCAAAGGGAGAGCCAGGGCCCAGGGGTCTGGTGCTCCACCCCACACACCATCCCCACAGGAGCCAGGGGAGCCCATCTCTTCTGACATCCTCTATGGCCACTTTCCCTCCCTCTGGGAATCTGCTCCCTAGTCTAAAGGGGTGTGAGAGGGCAGTCTATGAAGGTCAAAGCACTGGAGGCTTTCCCATGAATATCAGTGACTGTCTTAAAGCACCATTTGCCCACAGATTGCCTGTGCTAACTAAAATGTCACTTTCTTTGCTTTGGCTGGAATCTTAGCTACTCAGCAGGTAACACTGTTCAGCTCATGTGGATGTGAAGTTCTGAGTGGCAGTTACAGATGTCTAGAGTTAATTAACAAACCGGAAAACAAAATAATTACTGCCTAATACATAGTATAGCTCGAGAGGCTACGTCTTTAAAGGCGAAATTATAAAAAGGGCCTTTGCTGCAAAGGTTGGGAAGCTCTGTTAAACAGATTCAAGCAAAAGGGCAGCCAGGAGCCACAGGTCTGGGAGTCAAGTGATAAGCTAGGCACATGAGCTTTTGTTTTTTAAAAGCAACTCAGTCTTTCCATGCTTGTTATAGCTGAAATACTATTTCATATTGGATTTAGCATAGGAGCTAGGAATACTTCCAGGCTTTGGAGCCTGATATCCAGACTCCTGTGCTTGGCAGGTTGTATGACCTTGGGCCAAGTTACTTAGTGACTCTTTGAGCCTTAATTTCCTCACCTGTGAAATGGGGATAACTGACGTACATATTAAACGAGGTGTACTGGTCCCCGCACATATGAGGTGCTCAGTAAATGTCTTGCTAGTATATTACTGAGGCTATTACTAGTACTGATATCATTACTGCCATTAGATGGATGGGCCTGAGGGGGAGGGCATGGGATCAGATCCCCAGGGGTGGCAGATGTGGGTGTGCACCTGGGAGTGTGGCTCAGAGGGAGGAAAGGGAAGAAGGCCGCTGTCACCTACCCGCCAGCTCCAGTGTGACTGAGCAAGCCTGAGTGCCATGGCGATTGCGGGCTGAGCAGGTGAGGGGCCCCACATCCCGGCGGCTCACCCGGCAGATCCGAAGGCAGTACTGGTCGTCATCTGGCTGGCTCAGTTCATACACACCTGCCCGTTCCTCCAGGAGGGCCCCTCGGCAGCTGAGGGACACATGACAGGGAGGTGCTGCTAGGCCAGGCTGAGGCATGGCTGTTACATGTAGGGAGTGGGGTGAGCAGGGGCCCTACCTCCTCCAGATGACCTGGGCCTCCACGTGGGTAAAGGTGACAGTGACACTGGCCGGCTGTCCCTCTACCACATACACGACATCTGGTTTGTCCAGCACAGCAGGGGCCTCCTCCAGGGGCAGCCCTGACAGGAGAGGGCAGGCTCTATGCAGGGCTGCTGCTGGGCTGCTGGCACCTACTGCTCCTTTTACACCCCCAATCACCACTCAAGCCCCAAATTTACAAACAAGGGAGCTGAGGCCGAGGGAGCCTTAACCTTTTGATTGTTTTTTGTTTTTGTTTTTGGTACCAGGGATTGAACTTGGGTCCTTGTGCTTGCGAGGCAGGCGGTGGAACCACTGAGCTAAATCCCGGCCCAGGTTTAACCTTTTGTCCAGGGAACACAGGACATACAACCAGGGAACACAATCAGAGGAAAGGTTGGACTCCAGCTTGTCTGACCCCAAAGCATTAACTGTCCTAAGCCGTGCTGCCAGTGATGGGCAAAGGCCCGGCCCAGACAGGCTGCTCCTGCCAGTTACCAAGTGCAGACCAGCCCTTAAGCCTTCACCCCATCCCACCCCACCCCATCTCATGCCTACCCACACTGATGCCCACAGGGACACCCCGCTCACCTCGCTCCAGCAGCTGTACGGGCTCGGAGGGGGGCGAGGGCTTGCTGCTGCTCTTGCCACTAGTGCTGAGGACCCGGAAGACATGCTGGAGTCCCTTTCGCAGCCCCATGGCTGCCCACCCGGGCTCCCGCAGACCTGTGGCCAGCGCTGTCCACTGGTCAGAGCCCAGCACCTGGTGCTGCACCGTGTACATCAGGGAGTCTGGGTCTGGAGGGAAGGCAGCTGCTAGAGGCTGATGTTGCTGGGGCAGCACTGTGGCTCCCCACCCTGCTGGCCTGGGCCCCTGGAGTTCATCTCCAGTATTCTCTGAACTCATGGCTTGATCGGCCCTGTTGTTTTCTGCCTGCCTCCCCTCTGCACTTGCTTACCCACTGCTCTGGCCATCTTTGAAGTAACAAGCCACCAGTTATAGGCCCGGAGGGAGCTGGACTTGTACCCCAGTGAAAGATCTAGACTAGGCCAGGAGAGGATGTTGCCAGTGTCACACCTATGATCCAGGCTCCCAGTCTGTCTGAAAAAGGGAAGGGAATATGGTGGCACCTCATGTCTTCTGATCTGGAGCAAGAGCCTCATCCATTGTGGAAAGAAGACAGCAAATGTGCTCTGGCTGACCTTGTTCCCAGTACTCTACCCACTCCTGTCCCCACCCTGCCACCACATTGTTAGGGACCTGGATCCTTTAGTGCCCTCCCCTTTCCCTGCCCTGTCCACGCCTCATCCCCACCCAGTGCCCTGTGACCTACCGATGGCCATGTCCAGACTCCTGGGGGGGTTCCACATGAGTGTGACCATCCTCCCAGTCACAGCTACCACCTGTGGGGCACCGTCTGGAGGTCCTGGAACCACATCTGAAAGCCACAAGTCCGAGTCCTTTAGGGCCTAACAGCTCCACAGGGTCATCAAGCCTCAGGGGCAGAAGGCGAGGGACCAGGGCCCAGGCCCAGGGGCAGGGACAAGGCCAGTGGTCCTCAGGGAACCTAGAGAAGCTGATGTGGAGGACCCTCCCTTATCCGACCCTCTCAATGATTCTAGAAGTCAGCTTGTGGGCGCAGCTGCCCAGGAGGGTACCTTGCCTTACCTGTGACATAGAGGTGGGCATAACAGGCAGCTTTGCCCAGCTTGTTGGCGATGACACTCTTGTAGACACCTGCATGCTGAGACCCCACAGCCGGAAACACCAGGCGATGTACATCCCTATCTGGAGAGGGACAGTGACACCAGGGCTGAGCTAAGAAGATGCTTGGATCTTTATCCAGTTTTAGCATTAGCACAATGTTGATTTCCTAAAAATGAGGGGAGAAGTGTTCCTTCTTTTTTCTGCTTTTAATGTTTGATATAATTTATCAGTTAAAATGTATATGAGCCTACTGTTGTCATATAGGTAGGTTTGCGAGCTAGGAATATACTTTCTTTAATAGGTGCTATTCAAATTTTATATTTCCTCCAGAGTTAGTTTTATTAATTTGTCTTCCAAGGTACTTCTTAGAAGTTGTCAAATTTATTTTAAAAAAAATTTTTGTAATATGCTTTCTTTCTTTCTTTCTTTTTTTTTTTCCTTTTTTTTGTGCTGGGAATCGAACTTGTGCTTGTGCAGCAGGCGGCTAAACCACTGAGCTAAATCCCCAGCCCATGCTTTCTATATCCTTTTAAATTCTGTAAAATCTGTGGTAATGTCTCCTAGATCTTGATATTGCCATTTAAAAAATTTATGATTGATATTGCATAACAGGAAGAAAAGGTCTAAAAGAGCAGGGGAAGTGGGAGGGGTAGGGGAAAGGAAAGAAGGGAAAAGAAAAAATATGAGAAAAGGAAAAAAATGGAAACAAAGTTTTTGCAAATAGGGAAGAGTGGAGGGGGTAAAGGGAGGGCAGGGGAAAGGGAAAAAATAAGAACCAAGAGACTCATGTAATGGTGCAAGATCCCAATGATGAATGTACCTGTATTTTATACCTAAAATGTACCAATAAACTTACTGGGGGGGAAAAATTTTTTTAAAAAAGAGGAGATGCTTGGAGAGGTGGACCCATGCTGCTCTGGGGCCGGCCACTCACACACTGGGGGAAGAGTGGGGAGGCAGTAAGAAGTATGTTCTTCAAGTAGCCAAAGGTGGACCCAAGCGTGTGCCTGCACCCTAGCCCCCCTTGCTGTCCTTCCAGCACTTCAGCCCCAGCAATTTAGCATGTTCCTTCCACACTGGGCCACCCTCTGGGGTCCCTGCCCCTGTGCACTGCCTCATCACTGCACTTCTAAGGGGTCAGACCCTCCAAGGCTTTGTTCCTAGGTCCTCCCCAAGTCCCCTCTTCCCTATTCCCACATCCTCTGCCCTTCTGCCCTTCTCCAGCACAGCCTGAGGAAAGGCCACAGCCCAAACTCCAAGCCGGATTTTCTGCTCCTTCTGCAGGCTTGATGCTGACAGATCATCCCTGAACAAGCCACGTGTGTTCCCTCTCCAGGCCTTTGCTTACAAAATGTCTCCCTCTGGCAGGGCATGGTGGCGCATGGCTATAACCCCAGCATTCTGTGAGGCTGAGGCAGGAGAACTGCAAGTTCAAGTCCAGCTGGGCAACTTAGCAAGACCCTGTCTTAAAATAAAAAATGGCTAAGGATGTAGCTCAGCATGAAGCCTGAGTTCAAACCTCAATTCTGAGGGGAAGAAAGCACCTTGTTTTGGAATGTTCTCTTACCTACACCTTCCTTTTCCCTCAGGACATAGTTCAAGGAAGTACAGCCCCATGAATCCCACCCTGCCATGGCTGAACCCTGGTCCAATCTGTTCCTTGACTCTTTCCCTGGGACTCCAGCCCATGCTGCTTTGCAGAGGGGGAGGGGGTCCTTCCTCTTTATTTTTGAGTTATAGCTCCTGTCTGGGTTGTTCTCTCTCTCTTTTTTTTTTTGGTACCGGGGATGGACCTCGGCTCCTTGCGCTTGCGTAGCTGGGTTGTTCTCGTAAAGGCAGGCCTGTGTTAGTCCAGATCTGCTTGTTCCACCCAGATCTCAGTGTCTTGCCTGCAGTACCCAATTCATTCTGTTATAAATTATAATGAGATCTGTCTGCCTGCCCGCACTCCCAGGTCTCCTCTTCCACTGCACCCTCTATGCCCCACCCCCACTCCTAGGTCCAACCTAGGCCAGTACTTGCCCACCCCCAATGCTTTCAACAATGCTACCAAATTATCCCCGTTACCAATGAGGTCAGAGACATTAATTGACTTGTCCAAGGTCACACAGCTAATAAATAGGAAGCCATTGCTGGACCTGAGTTCCATCTTAGTTTCATTCCAAAGCTTTCTCCTTACACCCCGCTCCCTGCATGATAAGGAGGCTGCCTCTGGGGAGGGCATGAAGAGGAGACCTGCAGTGTCCTCCTTCACATCAGGAATGTCACCAAACACCCCTCCCTTCTCTTAGCAGCTATCTCTGCATAGAAGAGCCACTCATTCATTTATCTCTGCTCACCTATTTATAAGGGAGGAGAAGCCAAAAGCTGCCAATGACCCCAGATAAAGGCAGAAGCTGAGACGCCAGCTCAGATCCTGACAGACACCCACCTGGTGCCTCAAAGCAGACAGGGAGAAAGGGAGGCCCAGGGCTGAGAAACCCCAGCTGCAGCAGGGGACTAAGGGCAAGGGTCATAGCCAAGGTGGTAGCACTGGAGACGGGTAGGGTCAGGAGACTGGGACATGGGTGGCTAGGAACAGCCTTTTGGAGATGGGCATGAGTCAAGCGATCCTCCCTTGCCTTTGGGCAAGTCCTTGTACCTCTCTAGGCCTCAGTTTCATCATCTGTAAACAGGGCTAAGGGTATCTGCCTACAGGCCTGCAAAAGGTAAGATCATCCACATCAAATTGTTAGCACTCAGAATCTGACACTTAGAAAGCACTTACAAGGTAAACTTGGTCACTTGCAGCTACTGTAGGAGGAAACCATCAGGGGTGACAGTGTGGGCATGCATTAAGGGAGGCAGGTGGACCTCACTTGAGATTCAGATTCCTTCAAGAATGCAAGAGAGGAGTTCCCTGGCCAAGAGGACACCAACCCAAATCTGTACCTCCGCTTTTCTCTGGCTCCTTCTTCCTTATTTGCTATTTGTTAACAACCCTGGACAAACATCCTTTCCTGGCCAGAGCATGCCCACCCCAGCCCTCCCTGACCTCCCTCCAGAACATGGGCAGCACTGTCATCAACAGTGAGAATGGCCCAACAGCAAGAGCAAAAGGCCTAGACTTCGCTGGCCATTTGCTGTCTGCAGGCGCTGCTCTTGGCACTTCATATTATGAGTTTATTTAATTCTCCTAACAACTCCATTATTAGCTCCTTACTGACTGTTCAATAAGGGCCACCGGGGCCACCAGCAGAGATGACCACTGTGTGGGCTCAAAGAGGAGTGCAATGACCTCACAGACCCTGAGACCTCCCTTCCCCCAGGAACCCCATCTCTAAGCAAGTTACAGAAAGAAGGCCCAGAGGGAGCCTAGGGAGAAAGGGGCCCCAGTTCCAAGGCCCCTTCCTAGACACATACACTGTGTCATGCGCCGGTCATCGCTGCTCTGGATGCGGTGGCCATTGTGGAACCAACTGATGGTAGGGTAGGGCAGGCCAGTCACCTGGCACTCCAGCATGGCCTCCTTAGCCAGTCCCACCTCCAGGTCCTGCAGTGGCCGCAGGAAGTCAGGAATGGACAGCCGCTCCAGCTCGCCCTGCTCTGGCTCCTCAGGGATGGAGGGCATCTTCTCCAGCTTTGAGCTGTAAGAACCACACAGCTGTCCAGAGGTGCAGGGTTGCACCTCCAGCACAGGGCAGAGGCCCCTCAGAGAGGGTAAAGACCCTTCAGTAGCAGTGCCTAGCAGCACCTGGGGCCCCAAGCGGTACCTGGGCCCTGAGGCAGCTGTCCTCGGCTCCTCCACATACAGCTGCGCAGAGCAGTGGGCCTGGCCATGGGTGTTGGTGGCACTGACTGCATAGAGCCCCTCATCCTCGCTGCTCACGTGGGCAATGTGCAGTGAGTGCAGACCCCCATCCTGCCGAAGCCGCAAGTTGTCACTCTCCTCTACCTGGCGGCCTAGGGGCAGGAGGACAGGGATGTAGGACAGGTCCTCAGGAAACACCCCATCCTGGTCTGGGCCCACGGGGGTCTCCCAGCATCTGGAGGGTGGGGTGCACATACCAAAATGAGTCCAGAAAACAGAGGGCGGTGGGGTCCCACTGATCTTGCAGTCAAGGCGGGCGGCGCGACCCTCTAGCACCTCCACATCTTCCAGCAGCCGGGTGAAGAGGGGCGCCAGCGAGGGCCGTACAGTCAGCCGGGCACTGCAGGTCAGTTCCTCTGGGAGGGAAGAGGAGGCAACACTGGGCAGGGAAGGCCCTGCAGGCCCAAGCACCTTACCTTACAGATCCTGTCTGAAATTAGGGAGCCTAGGCAGAGTCCTGACAAGGCTCTGAGCACGAGGGAGGCAGTGGGCAAAGATCCACATGTATATCCACCAAGTCTTCTCGGGAGGTAGAGGTCAGTAAGGGCAGGCAGGGTCCCCACAGCAGCCCAGGGCCTAGCCCAGCCCTCCCCCTGACCTCCCCCTCATCCTAGAAACCAAGCCACTGCCTTCCCATGGCCCTACTCTCAGAACTCTCTCTGCACCTAGCTCATACCCATGCTCCCTCCCACCTGTCCCACAACCTGAGCAGATGCCCCTTGGCTCCACTCTGACCCCCCCAAGAAAAACTCTTCTGGAGGAGCTAACAGCCCCTGGGCTGACCCGATGATTCTTCTTGTTCCCTAAGCCCCTCCAGCTTCATGGCATGGAGAGGCAGGTGCCATCATCTCTGTCTCCCATGAGGACAAGGCCAGGTCAGAGATGTCATCAGTCCTAGCAGCTGCCATGTATTAGGTGCCACCCTCCGCTTTGTTTTACATTGGTTATCTCACTAATCCTGCCTATCTCCCTACAAAGGAGGAATTAGCATGAGTTTTTTCCTTTTTAACAGATGAATAGTCTAAAGCTCAGACAGAGGAAGTGACTTGTGCAAAGACACTGGCTGGGAACTTGCAGGGCGAGAACGGCAGGCCAAGACCTGGTTTGCTTGCTGCATCTCAGGGGACTTGCTCACTCGTGGGAACAGCAGGTATGACAGCAGCACTTTCCATGCCAGGTGCTCCTCTAAGTGCTGTTTTGGGCTGGCGTCCTGCACTATCTCTCACCCCACTGTACTTCCCCAAGGAGTTGGAGACCCCTTTCCTGGGCATTTCAATCTGCACCTCCAGTCCCCTCCCTCCGCTCTCAGACATCCATGGCAGCCCAAGGGCCTGAGTGAGTAGTTACCTTTGGCTGTGCTGAGCTTACAGGTGTAGACGCCACTGTCGTCCTCATGCACAGAGGTGAGCAGCAGCTTGCATTTGCAGCCATCAAAATGCATCTTGCATTTGAACAGCGCTGGCTGCAACAGGCGGCCACGGCACAGCCAGTCCACCTCCACGTCGGCAGGGCCTGCCACCAGGCACTCAAACAGCGCCATCTGCCCGGCCCCTACGTCCACGTCCTGCAGGGGGGCCAGCACGGCCAGGGAGCGGCTTTCAGGGTGTGCTGGGGGGAAGGCAGCCACAGGGGGCACACACAGAGCAGAGACACACAGGGTGAGGGAGACACACACACGCACACACAAGAGAGACAGACAGACACAGAGAGAGAGATGCATTTTGTTCCTCTGGAGATGGGGGGAGCCCACCCACCCACCCAGAACAGTAAGGAGCCCTGGATCTGGCTTTGAGATGTACCCGGAAGCTGGCCCGGGGAGGGAGAGCTCATGAGTGGTGAGAGGGAACACAGGGAGGGACACCGAGAGCGTCACATGGAGGTAGCGACGGAGGCAGAAAAAAACAACACAGCACACCAGCTGGGTACAAACTGGACTTTATTTGAGCTTAGAAATAGTGTTTCCAAATACCTCCACCCCCACTATGGCCCCATTCCTGCACCAAGCCTGGCTAACTCCCTCATTCCCAGACAGAGCATCTCCCGCCCTGACCTCCAATGAGGGAGTCCCCACTGGGCCCTCACCCAGCCAGGGCTGTTGGTCCCCTGTGGAACAGAAAGTGCTGAACCATTTGAAAGCCCTTTCTGGAATGGCCGGTGTCCCGCCCCTCCCAGTGAGGCCCCCTGACCACAGCCCCTCCTCTCCCGGCCCCTCCATCCTGTGGATGCCACGACCTCTTCTCTCCTGTGGTCTCGCCCCACCCCAGATCAGAGACATCCTTTCCTGACTGTCACAGACACACAGACAGACAAACGGAGAGACAGACAGTGGCCTGCAGCAGCATAGCACATGCAATCGCTCGGTGCTCCCCATGGGCTGGCCACCCCTCCTGGCCACCCCTTTCAGCACTCAGTCCATCTGGGGGCCTCCCAGCCATGTGTCCACTTGGGGAGGGAAGGTTTGCAGGGGCCCGTGGGCTGCCCTGGGGTGCTGCATGGGCGGGGGAGGGTAGGGGATGCTGGGACAGGTCCGGGCCGGCGGGCCGGCTGGGTCTGTGGGCAGGAGGCAGTGAAACACAGCGAGGTCCGAGAGGTGCCTGAGACAGGGGCGCAGCTCGGAGGGTAGCGGGGGGAGCGCAGGCGGCTCTCTGAGCTCACTCGCCTGTATACAGACAAAAACCTCAGTCAGCAAGCGGCAGGTTAGTGCAGCACACGCACACGCACGCACACAGGCACGCGCACGCACACACTGGCACACAGACCTGGCTAGGGCCCTTTGGAATACGGAGCTGCCTCTAACACTGCAGGCAGCACTGCCGCTTTCAGCTCCCCCAAGGCCAGGCCTGGGATGGGAGGGCCATCGGCTAGCCAGAGGGCGCGTCCCTCGGGTTCTTGGGCAGCAGAGACCCAGGGCAACCAGGGGAGAGGCGTTCACAGGCATCAGGAGCACCCCGAAGCCTGCAGGATGTCGGGAGGAATCCCAAAGAGAAAAGCATCAAGACATGGGTTAACACAGAGAAGCGCGGCAGAGCTGGACCCTGGAGGAGGGGGAGCAGGCGGGGGGGGGGACTGAAGAATAGATACCAAAGAGGTGGCAACCACACGAACGAGAGGCACCAGGGAGCTGAGGCAGGTGAGGGCTGGCAGAGGGCCCATGACTACAAGTGCCGAGGGGTGACTCAGGCCACTCCCAGAACTGGCCTGTGCCAGGCGAAGGAACTAAGCCTCGTGAGAGGAGGGAGGGACGATGGAAAAGTGAAGAACCGAGGAGAGGTCCTGGTTCTGAGCCATCCGAGGGAAGGTGGAGGTGGGAGGGCAGCAACAGTAAGCCGAGAGGACAGCAGCCTGGCTGGGCCTGTCACCCCCACTCCTAAGAGGTCTCTGTGTTTGTCCCTAACCCTGGGTGCTCGGCTCTCTCCACATTTCAGGGATCTGCTCACCCCGGGACCCCTGGGTCCCTACAGTGCTCCATGCCCAAATCACCCCAAGGGTCCCTCCGAACGGGTCCAGCCCCTGACACTCCCACTGCACCCCTCCCCCAACCACAGGAGCTTCTGCACAGCAAAGGAGGGCAGGGAGGGCAAGGGTGCAAGAGGACAGTGGGGCGTGGGTATGAGCAAGGGGCCTGGCACAGCGTGGTGACAGAGGCTTAGAAGGGCGTGAAGACAGGACGGTGGGCTGTGTGAAGCAGGGTCTGCGCCTGGCCTCAGGGGCTGCCGTGATGAAACACGGGCAAGGCAGTATTGGGTAGAACAAAACTAAGTGTGGAACAATTTGCTCTCTGGCTCTGTGGCTCTGAGCAAGTTGCTTCCTCTCTTTGGACCTCGGTTTACTCAACTCCAATATAAGCAGCCGGACTAGGGGTCAGCCCAGCCCTGAGTGTGGCATCCTGAAACCGAGGGTGTGTGAGAGCTGTGGGCAGGTGGGCTTGGGGCCAGGTGGAGGCCATGAGGGTGTGAGGCTCTCACCTCTGACCTCCAGGCGGGCCTCGCACTGCCGAGCGCCATACTCGTTGACTGCTTTGCAGGTGTAGAAGCCAGCATCGCCGCGCTCAGCTGCCAGGATCCGAAGCTGGCACAACCCACCCTCCGCCTCCTCCGCAAAGCGCCGCTGATCTGGCCGCACGGGCTGGCGATTTCTCAGCCTGTCAGAGACAAGAACTCAGCCCAGAGCCCCAGGGCCTGACCTGCAGGCTCAGCAGAGGGGCTACAGAGCCACGTAGTTCTCTCATCTCCATGCTGTTCACTTGCTCCCCAAACCTGTCCCAGTAACCAGGGCACCCAGGGGTTGTGGAGCGAGGTCTTCACCCTACCTCCACCTCCATGCCCCTCCAAGAACTTCCAGAACACAGAAGACCACCTGGATCTCTCTGCTCAGAACCACTGCATTTGGAACAGAGCCTTGCTATTTAGCTCTGGACTGTTCTTAATTCCCCCCATCTTATTGTTATTTATCTACAATGGAAAGATAGCTTTTCTGCTTCCCAAAAGGGCTATGACAGAACTTACAGTGTTGAAAATATCACAGTGGAAACCAGACAATCAATTAAAAATGAACAACAGAACCTAAACCAACAGGAAAACACGCTGAGCAGTCGATGTTCCAGGCCCCCAGGGTGAGCAAGGCACCACAGCTGAGACCCACATTTAACTGTGGGTTTCCAAGAGCTCGAAAACAAATTGTGATGATCAGGCTCAGCACAGCACTAGGCACACAGTGGGCCGCAAAAGTCACCCTGCCATCCACTGAAAGGGCAGGGTGAGAGGACTCCTGGCTACTCATCCTAAGTGGGCAGATGTGAGACCACTGCTACCAAACCCCTCCCCAGAAGGCAGGCCCTGAACGAGCCTTGAGCACCAGGCCCCCCGGAAGTCCTCTAGGGCTCTACTCCATTCCAGCAAAGCCAGCTCGAGGGCCCAGGCTGGGGTGGGGGTGTTGGTGGGGGGTGAAAGTGGCTGTTACTCACCAGGAGACCACAGGTTTGGGTTCCCCCTGCACACGAATGCTCATGATGACATCTTGGCCTTCTCTTACTGACTGATCCATAAGTGAGACCTGAGGGTGACCCCAGAGCATCAGGGGTGACAGTCAGGGTATAGCACTAGCTCCTGGGGTTGGGGGATCAGGGGCAGAGGGCTCTTCCATGCCAGTCTACTGAGGCATGCTCTGGGCAAGAAGGGTTAATGGGGCAAAGTTCCAAGTCTTGCTGGAGCCTAAGCATGGCCCCAAGAACAAGGGAGCACACAAAGGAATGGGGGCCCATGGGGTTTGGGCACCAGCCTCAGGGGTCTGACCTTGAAGGTGGGGGGCGCCTTGGAGCCAGTGTCAGAAGAATGGTGGTTCTGGCTGGGACTGAGCTTCATGGTGGGGGTTCGGGGCCAGGTCTCCCCAGGTTCTGGAAACTCCTCTGGGGGGCTCAGATACTCCTCATCGGAGGTGATGGGGCTGCTGAAAGGGGATGTGGACCCACCTGGAGGAGAGACAGAGAGGATGCCAGAGGAGGAAGGGGGCAGAGTCGGAGAAAGCAGGCTGGGCTGTTCTCCAGAGCCCAGAGTGAGTGCAGGTAGCTCCTGCGGCCCCTGGCCTGATTTCACCTCCTGGGCTCTGCTCGCTCGCTGTGTGACCTTGCCCAGGCACTTCCTCTCCCAGAGCCTCTGATTCCTCATCTGCCACAGGCTCTGCCAACGGTTATTCTGCTGATACTCCTGGGAGGGGACATCACCAGGAATGGCCTGATACAAAGGACTTGGCCAGCAAAGGGGATTAAGGGAGACCTGGAACTCCACTGGATCAGGGTGCCCACATTCCTGGCATGGACTGGGGAACCAAACTACCAGCCAGACTCCAAAAGCAGGTGGTGCTCATCTCTGGGACCCTGGAGTGGCAGAGCCGAGACACTCATTTCTTAGGCGAGCTGGGTCTGGTGCACAGGAACACACACCTCAGACAATCCCCATTCTGACCTTGATCCAGGGCCAATGAGGCAGCACTGTCCAGCCTGCCCTTCCCCCTCTCCCTTCTCAGCTTCCTGCCATAGACACCCCAGGGGCACCTGTTGGCCTGAGCCCTATAGCATGGACCCCCAAACTTAGGGGATAGGAGAGTTGGAGTCACCTACAGAAAAGGGCAGCCTGAGGAAGAAGAGGGGGGCACCAGAGTCTGCCTGGAAGAGGGGAGTCCCCAGGGCCCTGACACCCTCCCCTGCAACTGGCCAGGGGCCCAGCCTCACAGAGCTGGCTCCTATCCGACTGCCAAATACAGACATGAATCTGCCACAGCCCCCTGGCCCCTCCTCCTGGTTCCCCCACCCAAAGCCCCCAGAATGGCTGCTCCCCAACTCACCCTGAGACTCTGCACATGGACCCCAGCCTGCACCTTCCTGAAGGCTCTGCCCTGGCACCAGGCCCTCCTGCTGCCTGCCCACTGCCCACCCTGCCTTGGCTCCCCCAGGAGCACGAGCCCAGCCTGCCCAGCCCCACTCACTCACTGATCCAGCTGAGGCCCAGCACTGAGCTGGCCCTGGGGGAGGGGAAGGAGCCCAGGAGGGGGAAGGGGAAGGGGAAGGTGGAGGTGGCCAGCTAGAGGCTGGGTGGCAAGCAGACAGGCAGGCAGGCAGGCAGGCAGGCAGGCAGGCAGGCGCTGGGCTGGCTGGGAAGGTGGTGCCTGCTGAGACCACAGGCAGCCGGTAGGAGCAGAGGGGGAGCGAGGGAGGGGCAGAGCCCAGCCTAGCTGAATTTAGCTCATTCCCCAACAGCAGTCTGCCTTTTCTCTCCTTACAGTTCTGACACCGACAAGAGCAGAGCCCCTCCGAGGGGCCTTGACTCCAGGTCCTTTGGCCCCAGAGGAAGATAGGGGTGGGCTGGCACTGCACTGCAGTATCCAAGACTCTTGCCTGACCCATCAGGGTCAACAAGTCCACCAAAGGAGGTGCCAATGGCAAATGCCCCTACCTGCGCCTTATCCTGACCAAACCACCAAGATCCCAACCTGGCAATGCACTGAATGGTCCAAAATACTACAGAGTCAGGTCACAGCCTGCTTTATCTGGCCCTGCAAACAGAGACCCATCAGAACCTTTGTTCTTCTCCCAGAGATGCCCCCTCGACCTAAGGGGGCCCAGAGTCCCCCTCTGCCAACTGAGTTCTGCCATAGCAGGTCTGGCCCAGCAGCCAGCCCAGGACATGAGCCTATGCTTAACCCTCCCAAAAGTTCTGTGGGGCACCTGCTGGCAATCTGCCCTCCAACCATGAGCCCCACCAGGGTCAATGATGAGGACCGTGAGGGCTGCTTCACCAGCACCCCATTAACTGGCACCCATTTGCATCTGGGCTGGGGAAGGGGTTGTTAAGCAGGGGTCACATGTCCTTCTCCTTCCTCCTACCCTCTCACCCCCACCCGGGGCCACATTCTCAAGCTATGACCTGTGTTTCCCAGCATTGCCCAGGAAGGAGTGGCTGGGACCAGCCAGAGGAGGGGCCCTCCATTTGGGCTGGCTGTCTTGAGGCTGGGGTGGGGAGGGCATCAGGGCACTTGGTGCTGGAGGCTTGGCCCCCAGCTGACTCTGAGGTCGCCCCCAAAGAGCAGGGATGCCTACTCCAGGGTCACCTCCAAGCTGGACAGTGGCTCTGGAGCACAGGATTGGCCAGGTTGGGGTGGGGTGGGCTCAGAGACCCCTGGTGGTGGCTGGGGGGAACAGCACCCCAGAAGCATCCAGTCACCCAGCAGCCCAAGTCCTCAAGCCCCTGGGAGACAGGAACTGTCAACGCAGCCAGGCAAGAGGCTCAAGTGCCACAGTGGCAGAACTAGGCCTCCTTGAGACAAGACCCTGCCACACCCCCGAACTTTGTTCAAGAAGGTTGATGGGGGACCAGGCTCTGGTGCCACCTACTTGTCACTGTCCCACTGTCAAAACCATTTTTATAGCCAGTCTCTAACATTCCTGCCCTGCTCCACCCACAAGCCTGACTCACACTATAGAAGTAGTCACGCCATCCAGGAAGTAGGGAGCAGGTACCCCAAAACCTATACCATGTAAAGACTACTCCTCCATAGCTGTCCCCCACTCCGTGAAGAACCTATCTGCCCTTTCCACACTGCTCCCTGGTCAAACCGGCTTAAAGAATATACTGCCAAGGGCTGGGGATTTAGCTCAGTGGTTCCACTGCCTGCCTTGCAAGTGCAAGGACCCAGGTTCAATCCCCGGTACCACACACACACAAAAAGAATATACCGCCATTAGGGAACCCATGAATCAGAGAACTGTCCCTCCCCGGACTAACAAGCACACCCTGTTGGCCCCAACATCCCAACTGTCTTCAATGTCCCCTCCCATGTTCCCACCATAGAGATAGCTGTAGGCACCTGCCAGTATCTAGCCGATGAAAGGTGTCACTCAGGCCTTTACATCAGGACTATCAGAATGATCCTTGAACTACCCACATCAGGTCCAGCTGGAAACTTCTTTGACGTACAGATTCCTGAGCCTTATCTGGCCCACGGAATTAGACTTTCTGAAATTTTCAAAAGCACCCAGGTGATTCTTATGCATATGAAAGCTGAGGGAGCACTGCCAATTCTCAAGGAGAACAACCGCAAGAGATGGTTTCACTGAGTTCCACGCACTTGACCATTCTACCTCAGTGCAGGGCTTTGGACTGAGGGCTGACTTCATAGTCCATGTGCTTCCGAATTGCACCAAAGGGCTTCTCATCTTCACCCAGGTCTCTTAACTCCCTGGTGGTGGTTTTCAGACTTTACTGTGTACTGGAATCACGCGGAAGGCTATCCTTAGCCCATAGACGTTTGGGACTCATTCCTAGATTTTGACATTCCCTAGGTCAGGGCTGGGGCTGATAGTCTGGATTTCTAATACATGCCAAAAGGATGCTAGTCAGAGGATCACACTTTGAAGGCCGAGGCTCCATGGTCTCTTCTGTCACCCCGAACTCCACTCCTCGGCACAGACTCTTTGCCCTTTGCAGTTGTGTGTCCTGCCCAGACTCTGTGTGTTACCCAGACTGCTCCCAGAGCCTGGAGCTTCTGCGTCTCTCTGAGCCCACTACTGCCTCATGCCCACTCACTGCGGTACACACAGTCCCCACCATCCTAGAGGGCCTCCGTGAGTGGCTCCAAAGGCTAAGGACTGAAAAAGGCAGTCGTGTCCTCAGGGGCCTTTGGCTGGCAGGAAAGACAAGCCAGATACACAGGCGACTTGAAAAGCAGCAGGAATGAGTGACAAGGCGACACAAGAGGGGCAGATAAGATGGTCACAGAAGCACAGAGGGCTTGAGATGAGTTTTTGCTCAGGGAAAAAGGGAACTGACAGAAGAAGTGGTATTAGCATTTGGTTGAAGCAGGGGCGGGGGGAAAGGAAAAGCAGTCCAGGCAGAAGAACCTCCGCAAACAGATGTTCTGAGTCAAAAAACACAGGTGCATGGAGGCCCATAGCTCAACTGTCTGGTGACACATCTGAGTGAAGAAGAAAGAAGTAGGCATCACTGTGTGACAGAAGATGCCTCTTGCTGCTCAGGCCACTCTCAGGGCATCCTCAGGCCTCTGCTGGCCCCATGGATCCAGGAGACAGAGAGCAGCTGAAGGTGTGTGGCTTTTACCCTGAAGGCCAAGGGCGGCTCCCCATGCTTTTGGCAGAGGAGGGCATATGAGCAAATGGTTACTGCCATGACCCCACCATGGAAAAGTGAGGAGAAAGAGGGCACAGGCCACAGGGATGTGGGGGTTCCCACAGGACGCTGAGATGACTGTTTCCTCAGGACAGGAAGGACAACTGTGCTGAGAATGGTTCAGGTTTAAAATGCATGAAGCATCAGAGAGACTGTCACACGGTCAGCCTGGCCTAGCCAGGCAAGTGTTGAGATTTCCCACATATGATTACACTAAGGTGCTCCAGGCTAGAGGAAGTGTTTGCACCCACAATACATTAGGTCCCCATTTGGATGACAGGCTGTGAGTGATAAATTCCACTCCGGATAACATCCGTGAAGAGTCTGTGCAGAGGGTACACCTGCTCGGGGCAGACAGAGTGGGGAGGGAGGGCTGGATCTGGTGAAGTGGCCCACACTACCCTGCTTTCTCAAGTGTCTCCCAGACCCCCAGTAGGATGGACAACAGGCGCCGTGCGGCATTCCAATGTTCCCTCCATTGGCACCCACTGCCACTGCCAGAGAGAACCCGCAACTATGCTACAGGTGGCCTGGAACCCAGAGCAGGAGAGTGGGGCAGGGGTAGGTGGTGTGACTTTCTTCCTTTTCTTTTGTATTCATGACCCCTAATAAACAACCTCTTGTGATAGGGTTGATCATATGAGTGGGACCAGAATAAGCCTTGAAGCACCATATCCCTTAGCCCAAATGTCTGTGGCTGACTCACCCCTAGCTTGAGTCTCACAATTCTTACTATTTAGCCCATGAGTCAGGATGAGCCTCACTTTACAGACAAGAAAACCATGGCCAGCTAAACGTGAAGGTCTTTGCTGGGCTCAAGCACATGAGACCTGTGCCTGAGGGGAGCGCTGCAGGCAGCAGGATGGGGCCCCCCACATCACTCTCTTCCTGACAGCACCTGGAAAGCCTCCTGTAGAGCCCACTGTGGGAGTGAGTAGAGTGTGTGCAGCACACCAGGCAGTTGGCCAAATAAACGGACCATGGCCAGGATGGAGGCAGGGAGTCAAAAGAGGAAGCAGAAAAAGCCTTGTCTGTTCCAGCCACAGAGGACCTGGGCAGTCCCCGCCCCATGAGCTCAGGAGCACAAATGTATCTTACACCCAAACCCTCTCAGAGTAGCTGGAAAGGGGATGGGACAATGCAACGCTTAGGAGTATCTTTCTGGGAAACCTGGAGATGGTGCGTCAGGGCATGACTCCAGCCTCCAACAGGTCCCGTGTTTCTAGAGCCTGGCATTCAACAGGGTAGGGTACTTGCCAGAGGTACTATTAAAATGAATGGCAATTAAAATGAAATCAAATGAAACACTTGGCTCCTCAGTCATGCTGGCCATATTTAAAGTGCTCAATAGCTACATGTGGCTGGTGGCAACTAACACTGGACAATGCAGACACAGAATACCTCTGTTATCATGGCAAGTCCTGTAGGTCTGCACTGCCCTACAGCAATGTGCTAAAGTTTTCCCAGTCCCAGTTTCCTCATCTGAAATGTGGATATAATTATAGAATCTATCTCACGGGGCTGGATTAAGTGTGATTACCCAATCAACACTGGGCTAGTACATAGAAAGAACTCTATTAATGCTAACTAACTGTGTTATTTTTATCCGCTAGTCACACTAAATGTAGTTGTTTCTTGGATGAGCTCCTTCCCTCACCCTAAACCATTTATTGCTTATAACATTCCCAGGCAGATACAGATGCTCAAAAAAGGCTACTAGCCTGGTGCTAGCTCTGTCACAGTACCCTTCACACTTTAGTCTTCCCAGCTGTGAAATGGGAACGTCACCACCTGACACCCCCAATCTGATGTTGGTCAAAGACAGAGATATGAAAAGGGGCTGGGGATTTAGCTCAGTGGTGCTGCCGCCTGCTTCGCAAGCACAAGGTCCCGAGTTCGAACCCTGGTACCAAAAAAACCCAAAAAAACTAAGAGATATGAAAGGGTTTGAGATAACCATATGGCACTCTAAAAACAGAAGAAATGGGGCACTGGCCACAGATGCAAATTCAATAGATGCTTATGTGATGCATTTGGCAGTAGCCAAGAGAAAAGGGTTTACTTGGGTTAAGCACACTCTTCACAGTCTCAAGTCAGGAGTCCCAGTCATTGTCCCTCCCCTTTGAAAGAGTTATTCAGGGAGGAGGAGGGATCTAGGGCTGGGGGCGGCTGGTGGAGCTGGAGAACACCAGGCTTTGCCTGCATACCCCAGCCCCCCAAAGCAGGGGGCTGCATTCTGTAGTTACCCATTTCCTGGTTACCATGGTACCCAGCCAGGAACAGATCTGTGGGCTCTCAAAAGCAACCCTGTTGGGGTGGGCATCCCAGGAGCACACTGGGCAGTCAGCCCTGGTTTCCATGGCACTAGGCATGGGGATGGGGAGATACCAAGACAGGGTGGTGGCTCCGTGTAAGCTTCTTCCCATAAGACACTGCCTATTCCTTCCCTCTGCCTATACCCTAGGCCCCCATAGCCACCCTGCTGGGTACCCTCCCCAGCTCCACTCCTTACTCCTGACAGACTCCAGGCCTTGAACCACCTCCTTTGCCAAAGTCTGTGCTACCACTGGTTCCGCCTACTCCAGCTGCTCTCTGGGTCCACTGGCCCCTATCCAGCCACTCTGGACCAAACAGTGCCTTGTAGGGTAAGAAAGTCACATTGCTCCACAATGACTAGCGCTGAGTCTGGACCCGAGTGCCAGCCTCTTGGGCCCTGGAGCCAACCTGACTTATGCGGGCTGCTGCAATGCCTGGTGCAATCAACTACTGTGATGAAGGCTTTCTGGCTCCCCAGGGCAAAGGAGGCACAGCGATGCTGAAGCACCCAAGGACATGGGGCTAGAAAAAGAGGGATGAAGTCTTCAAGGCACAGGCTGAAGAAAGGAGCGGGGAAGGAGAAGGCACTTCCTAGGTCCTCCTGGAAAGCTGAGCCCATGTGCACATCACCCCTGAATGCTAACAACAAACATTTGTCTACAGCTTTACAGTTCATAAAGCTCATTCGCACATCCACTTTAATCTGTAAAGATGGTATTATTATCTCTGGTTTACAAATGAGGAAACTGAAGCTCAGAGAGTTTCAATGTGGCAAACAGAACTCCCAGTCAAGTGCTGACAGCTGCCATGCCCCAAGCTGCCTTTCCAACCTTAAAAGGCTCCCAAATGGCCCTGAGCCAGTATTGGGACACCCCTCACCCCACCTCTCACCAAATCACAGCCCAAGCCAGGTACTGACTGGTGTCTCAGAGCCATGGCTTGGCCCCTGAGGGGAGCTGGGAGCTGAGTCAGAGGCCAGATCTCAGAGGTGATGGAAGGATGGAACCATGTAGAGGGTTGGCATGATTCAGCGAGGCAGGAGGGGTGAGAGGGAGCAAGCCTCAAACATGGCTCCTGGGAGGGATGAGCAAGCAAAGGAAGAGGACCGGCAGCTCCACAAAGCTCTGTAGTGTGACCAAAGGAGCTAATGTAGCACAGGGCCTGAGATCAGACCCCACTGCGACATCTCTGCATTGGAGCGGTCTAAGGCCCTGGGACCCCACACACGGGCTCTGTCATCTTGTCTCTTGCAGCAAGAAAGGCACAGAACAGGGCCGGGGATTTAGCTCAGTGGTTCTACCGCCTGCCTTGAAAGCTAAGGACCCAGGTTCGATCCCCGGTACCAAAAAGAAAAAAAAAAAAAAAGAAAGGCACAGAACAGTGTGCGCTGTTCCCCTCCGGGCATGTTCTGCCCTCGCCCCCTCAGTCTAAGTCTCAGCCTCCTTCCAGCCCTGATGTCTCCCAGAACACTGACCAATGCTCAACTGTTCCTGCACTGAATGCTTCTGTCCTGTGTTGTCCACATGCTAGGTCTGGACGCCCAATGGTAAACCATCTCAGATTTGAGTTTGTGCCTTTGCCTTCTACGACACCCTCTCCCCATCCTTCCCTGCCCCTGCCCTGCGGCCCAGGGCCAGGACGGTGTCAGGCCCAGCCACCTGAATGAGCAGAACTGGCCATGCACACTGACAGCAGTCCAGCCCCGCCTGAGCCAGAGAGAAATTGGGCTGCAACCCAAAGGAAACAGTCTGACATCAAGTGAGGTTTCATAAAAATAGAAAACAAGGCAGGCTCAGCACTGCCATCTCCAGAAGGTGCTCTCAGCTGCACTTCCTCCGGGCTTGGGGTTCAACAGGAGGAGCAGAGTGGCACTTGAAAGCCACTTTTTACTGGGGTTGGAGAAGAAAATGCCTTCAAAAGGTTCCTGGTAGCTCTCCAGCCCTTTGAGCTGAGAGATTCTTTTTCTCAGAGACTTGAGGATAATTTGCCTTCCTCACAGACCCAGTTCAGGGAATTGACATAGGAAGATGGCATTTGGAGGCTGTCTAAAAGACAAATTTCACTGACTGTGAATTGGCCAGCCTGGTGTGTACCTTGGGAATGTGGGCCCTGCCCTGAGGGTAGGACCACTGAAAATGCTTTCTCTGGGGTGGGGGACTGGGGGGTGTGACACGTGAGAAAGGACTGTGCACGCTGTCTGAGAAACCGAGCTCTCAGCTGCAAATGGGAAGGGAACCTGGGGCATGACCTCAGAACCACAGGGAATGGTCACAGCTCACCCCCACCCGGCCCTGGGCTCGACGGGCTCCCTACCAGGTCTCACAGCCAGTGAGGCAGCACAGCTGGCCTGGCCCAGATCATTGGTGGCAGTGGCCATGTAGCTTCCTGCGTCAGCTTCTTGGGCCTCCCTGAGCAGCAGGGTGTGCCGCTCGCCCTCAGTGCGGAGGAGAAGTCGGCCCTCACTGCGCAGCACCAACCCATCCTTGTGCCAGGACACTGTGGGGAAGTGGTGGGAACCAGCTCACCATGGTTCACCGGGGCTCGCTAGGGCACTCTCTCTCACCCAGCCCTCCCAACAAGGAGCCCAAATCACTCCTCTCCCCACCCCAGGAAACTCTGACAAATTTGCCCTCCTCTCTAGGGTCCTGGGCAATCCACCTAAACACAGAGTTAAGGCAGCCCCCAGGGAGTGGATGGCTCCCCTCCTACCCAGCCCTCCCTCAAAGGACTCTGGCTGAACCTCCCCCTCCCTGTCCCACATGCCCCCACCTCAGCCCCTCCCAGATCCTGCCCTGCTGCTCACCTTGGGCTGGGGGGTTGGCAGTGATGATGCACTTAAGCAGCACATCGGCCCCTGGTGCCACCACCATGTTCTGCAGAGGGATCTCAAACACCGGGGCCTCCAGGGGCTCTTCTCCAGCGGACACATAGGAGTCATCTGAGGACTCTGCCAGGCACAGGGGTGATAGTTAGGAGGACTCCATCCCTGCAGGGATGACTAGAGGGGGAGTGTTGGCAGCCCCACATCCTAGAAAGCCAGGCTCCAAAGAGGGGCTTCTGAAAGGCAGAGCTGGGGGAGCAAACAGTCTCTCTCTGGAATGTCCTGAGACAAGGAAGAGTAAGCCAGAAGGAAGGTTCTCAACCTGGACAGGGCAGCGGAGACCCCACTTCATCCATAATTAGTGCTGGTTTCTGGAGGAAGGTGAGGACCTGCTGTGGGTATCTTCACATGAATCAGTCATTATGTGTGGCACCGAAGGCTCTACGCAAGGCACGTGGAGGGTCGCAAGACTGCATCAGTTTCAAATGAGGACAAGCTAAGAGTAGCCAAGACCTAAATGGTAACACTAGTTGCACAGGGCAAGAGGTGGGGAATTGTCAAATTCTTGAGGCCACCAGATTCCAAAGAAGGAGCAGCAGAAGGACTGGACGGCCCTACGAAGATCAGCCTTAATTTTGTCCCTTCACCAGACAGTAACACTGTCCTTACCGCACACAGAGCCCTGATGGGTACCCAGGATATGACAGGAAATAAGATGTGGTCTCTGCTTACAGGGAGTTCATACAAAGAGATAATAAAACCCCACTGTCCTGATTCTCTCTGGGTATTTTCCAACCCTGACAATCTCTAAACTAGATAAAGGACAATCTGGACAGCCCAAAAGGCATTGAGGATCCCAATTCTGCTGATTTCTAGCGACATCACCTGGGGCAAAAGAGATAATCTTTCTGAGCCTTGGTTGTGTTATCTGGAAGATGGAGGGATAACACCCAATACTGTGCAGAGCTGGCACACAGGCTGAAATGAGATAGCCCATACCCTCTGGGCTGAGTAAACACAACGCCTGGGACATCGTGGTGGGTATCCAGTACTGGAGACTAGTAGGATGATGGATGAGAGCTTAATCATCCCTAAAGGCTTTAAGGTGGTAGTACTTAAATGCAAAATAATTTTGATGTAGAAAAATACAAGGTGGTAAGTCAATGAGAGAGATACTAGCAGGGTCTCCCAGGCACAGTGGGGAGAGGCATGAGGAGGGAGAAGCAGCAGGGAGTGGGAGCTAGTCAAGGATGGCTTCTTCTGCCTCTCCAGGAATGGGCCCAAGTTGCTGTTCAGGACATTTGGGTTTGGGGCAGCAGCATTCTCCGGTGGTTGATGTTGCTTATCACCCCTGAGAAGGTAGCAGACACACATAGGCTGCCGTGTGTAAGGACCAGTCAGCTCAGAGATGCACGATGCGAGGGCACGGAGAGAGGAGGCTAGAAGGGAAGGCTGGGTCAGACCTCAGTGGCTACAGCTGGGTCAGGGGACGGTGCTGGAAAGGGAAGGGCAGAGTGAAGGGTTAGGCTGTGACAGCTACTGTCTCTTCCCCCACAGTGGGATGGGGGAACACTGAGGGCTCCTTAGGTTCC